TCAGCCACACAGAACACCCAGCAGCCACCACAGCCTCTGGGGCCCCTCTGCTGCCAGTCAGGCCCCCAGAGCAAAGGGACCCCCAGCCCGGTCCCAGGCCCTCCTCAATGCCCCACCCCCAGACCTTTGCCCCTGCAGTTTCCCTTGATTGACACCACCCCTTGTTCCCCACTACCTGCCAATCCAAGGCCCACCCATCCTTCCAGGCCCAGTCAGGACCTGCTCAGCATGGAGTCCAGAAAGAAGCCCAGATACCCCGAGACAGGCGAGGCCCCGAGGCCCTGGCCACCGCGCCTTTCCCAGCAGCTCCACCAGAGGCTTGGGGCTCACAGACAGGATCTGGGGTCCCGCCCTGGAGAGGGACACTCCAAAATCTAGGCAGGGCTGGCCAACAGAGGACACACAGGCCCAGAGGAGAGAAAAGCAAGGTGAGATCAATCTCAGATGCTGCCTCAGGGGAGGCAAACTTTGAGCTAACAGTCATGAGCATTTGTTGGACAAATAGTCATCCAACACTTGCTGTGCGCCAAGCGCCGTGCCAGGCGTGGGAACCGTGAACCAGACGGACCCGGTCCTGGGGGAAGGAGGCACAGTGATAAACAGACGCACAAAGAAGTACTGTGATGAGAAAACAGCGGGGCAGGGGGTAGAGAGAGCAGGGGCTGGGCATTGAGGGGATGCCTGAGCAGGGCATGAAGGAGAGGCCATTGGAGCTGGGGGAAGCCCTTCTCAGGCAGAGTGGACAGCACACACAAAGGTCTTCACTGGCTCTGGGCTTAAAGGCCCCCTCCTCCAGGAAGCTTTCTCAGATTGCTTCTCCTGGTCCCCACTGCATCCCATCCCATGAGCTCCACCTGCCTCCCCCTGGATGCCCCATGCTTGTACTCAGTAAGATAACTTGTTGGATAAACCAGTGAGAAGATGCATCCACACTACAGCGGAGTGATCTGTGTCCCCACAGGAAAGGGCCGGGTGTCCCCAGGGCCCAGAACAGCGTCCAGCACACAGCAGGTGCTCAGTAAGCGTTGAACAAGTGTGACATTTGGAAGCAGCGTCAGAAACAAGATCAATGATGGCTTCTCTCTGAGGACAGGGCTGTCCCCACACTCCACTCTGTGCCCTTGTGCCCCATCTCCTGGTGGAGGGACACTCACACTCAGTCTGCCAGCGGGGTCACAACCCCTCAGCCCAGCGGGGCCCAGGAAAACGTTTCTGCTCCACTGGAGAGAAGTGGCTGCTCCTGCCTCTGATGCACCGGTAGGAGGCAAACAGGAGTCGCGTGCCTTCCTCCTCCCAAGAACAGCAAGGCGGCAGCCCTGGATCCCGAAGGTGGCCAGGGGAGGGGCTGGACGGTCCCGAGGACCTGCCTCGACGGGCATTGGCTCATCACATGAGGAATGCTGCATCTGGAGCCTGAATGCCAAGGTTCTGGGTGGGGGGGTGGGGGGGGGGGTGGGAGCCATGAGTCCACAAGTGTGAGGGTGTGCATGCATGCATATATAGGTGTGAGCACTATGCACAGAAAGACAAAAGAATCTAGAAAAAAGGCACCAAAGTGATCTCTGGGGGAGACAGTCCAGATGGTTTTTACTGTTTTATGTTTTTCTGTATTTTCCTAATTTTCTATGCTCAGCCTGTGCTACTTTTAGAATCAGAAAAGAGCTAGAATAAGTCATGTAAGGCCGTTGATGCAACAGGCAGAGAATGGATGGAGCAGAGACAGGTCTGGTTCCTCAGCCGCTGGGCCTGGGAGAAGGGAGTGGGAGCAGGGAGGGGGAGGGACGCTGTGGGGCTCAGGAAGCGGGGGGACCAGGAGGCAGGACACCGGGCCTCCAATCAGCCTCCTCGCACCCCAGCTTCTGTGTGACGCTGGCCCCCGTTTCCCCATCGGTATGCTGAGCTCCTGACCCCGATGCTCTGGAATTCTCTGCCCCATATCCCAGGTAGGACGTGGGCCAGGAGGGCTGGGTGCTGGCAGAGGAAAGACAGAGGGTCGCTCACATCACCAGCTCAGCCCCTCCATTGGTTCTGGGCCTGGGATTCTGCATCTTGGATGCCTGCTGCCGTGAGGGGCCACCTGTGAGCTCCCACAGCCAGAGGCAAATCTCCAGGGTTGGCAGCAGTGGGGGTAGGAGGTGGGACTCAGACTCTACAATTATTTTCTTTTTATTTTATTTAATTTTATTTTTTGTGTGTGCTAAGGAAGATTCGCCCTGAGCTAACATCTGTTGCCAATCTTCCTCTTTTTGCAAGTGAGCCACTGCCAAAGCATGGCCACTGAGGGACAAGTGGTGTAGGTCCACACCCAGGAACTGAACCCAAAGTGGAGTGCGCCAAACATAACTAGGCCACCGGGGCGGGCCCTCTATAATTTTTTCACAAGTGCCTACGACATGCCAAAGCTAAAACTTAGGGGCAAATACAGTAAAACATTGTTGTAATGGGGCTGGGTCCATTGAGGGAAGGATTCACTGAGCTCCGGAGTCAGGTGGAAGCTTCTCCATATGGCATGTCCTGGCCCCTAATGTCCAGCTGGATGGGCCCTAGTCAGGATCTCGGGCCCTAAAAGGGACCCCCGAATCTCCCTCCAGGTCAGGGCCATGCAGAGGCCTTTAAGAAAATCCCCTGAGGCCTGGTAATTGGCATCCCCTCACCGCCCCCCACCAGCTCCCCCCCAGCTCCCCCTTCTGTCCACCTCGGCAGAGGCCCTGGCCCTGCTCTCACCCTACCCTGTCCACACCCTCCCCCTCCCGAGTCCTCCCTCCAGACGCTGCCCAGGGCAGGATGCGGAGGGAGGATCAGAGGACTTTGGCTCAGAGAAACCTGGGCTCCACTCCCAGCTCTACCAGTTTCTAGATGTGAAAACTCACGCTTCCATGTCAGAGCAGCTGAGCCCGGGAGCCCTTCTAATGCTTCTCCCCTGAGACTCCCAAATGTGGGAGGCCCCAGAGACCCCCCACCGCAGGCCTAGAAGCGAAGTACAGGGGAGCACTGAGTAACTGCGCCACATGGGTGCAACTGAAGCCTGGGCTAGGAGTGAGCAGTGGGCTCGGGCTCTGCCACTTCCTCCCTGACCAGGGCGAGGACCCTTGTTCAGGACGGTCTGGGTTCTGACGGATGGATTCTGACAGCTGGGCCAGGGAAACGGCCGTGCAGCCTGCAGACTGAGCCGAGCAGGCAGGAGTCTCCCGCCCAGCAGAGGGGCGTCTCCCTCGGGAGGGAGCATCGGCCCACAGCTCCCTCTGCTTGGGGCTCAGGCCTCTTCCAGCCTGCCTCCCTGGACCGCTGCGAGGGGCAAGTGCAACAAGACACCAAGAGGCCCTGGAGAAGGACCAAGCGAGGGGGCAGAGGGCCAGGCCTGCCACCAGAGAGGTGGGACTGAGGACTCAGGCCTGGCCCACCTCCCGAGCCCCAGGCCCTCGCTCAGAAGATCTGTCCTCGCACCCTGGCTTCCTGCACCGCGGGTCCCTAAGGTGCAGGCGGCTTTCTGGTCATGAGAGGGCATCTATGACGTGAAGACTGGCTTGGGTTGGACTGTATCCTCCAAGAAGATACGCTGAAGTCCTGAGCCCCAGTCCCTCAGACAGCGAACTGACTTGGCATAGGGTGTCTGCAGATGTAACTAGTTAAGATGAGGTCATAGGGGAGCAGGGTGGCCCTAATCCACTGACTGGTGTTCTTATAGGAAAAGAGACACGCACGGGGAGGAGGCCACCATGTGATGGCACGAGCCCACGATGGGAGGCCACGTGACAACAGAGGCAGAGGTTAGAGCCCATGGCTGCAAGCAAAGGACACCAAGACGTGCGGGTGTCCTCCCGCCTTCCACCAGAGCTGGAGACAGAAGGAAGATCCTCCCCTAAACATCTCCGAGGGAACATGGCCCGGCCGACCCGGGGTTTCTGCCTCCAGAACCAGGAGACAATGCCTTCTGGTGTTTTAGGCTGCCAGTTTGTGGCCCTTGTTACGGCAGCCCTAGGAGACAGATACAGGGGTGATGCTGGGGTCCACGGGCAAAGGTACTTTGGCCTCAGGAATCCTGGCTCCTCGGTGCCCCTGCCTCCCTAACCCAAGAACCAAGCCTTGGAGGGCTCAGATCACAGTTTCTCCGTGGCAGAAAGAACAGGGTGGCCCGGGGAGAGGTGCAGTGACAGAGGGGACGCCCTGCTAGAGAGGAGAGGGAAGCCCTGTGCCCGCACCCTGGGGAGTGTGAGAGGGAGGTGGAAGGGGAGTGAGAAGCCACATGTGCACCCCTCAGGGTGGAGCCGTGGCCAGGCAGGAGGATCCGTGGGAACACAGAGCATTCCAGAGACCCCCTGAGAACACTGGGCCTGCAGCCCACCTTGCCACTGCTCCAGCAAGCCCCACCTAGTGTGACACCATGGCCACCACAGCACAGCAGTAGTGGCCCTCTGGCTCTCCACCAGCTGTAGGTCATGTGTCCAGTTTCCTCATGTGCCCCAGAGCGCAATGTGGAGCTACCAAGAGGGCTGGTGGCCCAGCAGAGGCCTGGATGGGTGCCTCAGGGCTGGAGGGGGACAATGAGCCCAGAGGGCCCAAAGCCAGACAGTGACAGAGCCAGGCCAGGGTGCCGTCTACCACACTTCCCGCCTCTCTTGCATGAGGGGACAGAACAACTTATAAACACAGGGTTCCCGGTGGTGGAGTGCCCGACAGTGGAGGACAGACACACAGCAGGTCCAGGAGACAAACGGCTGCTACCACCCCTGGACAGCTGCTGGGCCTCACTCCAACTGTGGGGCTGGACCAAGTTTCAGAGCCAAACAGCTCACTGCAGTGGCATGACCCCCCACAACATCACCCCACGGCCTGCAAAGCCCCTGCCCTGGGCCTTGGCCTGTAGCCTGCCAGACAACCGCACCAGGTGTCCTGAGGAGGGCCTCTCCTCCGTGCATCCCACCAGGGCCTTGTGAGGGGGATGTGACCCAATCTTGGAGACACAACCCACTCTGAAAGGAGCGAGGACACCCAGCCCAACCTCGTGGCTGTGGGACTCCAACATCTGGGGACATTTATTTTCTTCGGCAGGACTCTGGAGAAGGAAGAAGGTCAGCTTCACCGGCTGGGCAGAGTGGGGACAGCCCAGGGAAGGCTCGTATCCTCTTGGCCTGGCAGAGGGTAAACCAGGACAGAAGGACCCCTGTGGGCCTGGCGGCTCTGCTGGAGGGCTGGAGAGAAGGACGGCCATCTCAGAACCTGACGTGGGAGCCCTTTTTCATGGAGGACAAAAGGGTGGCCTTCTCAGGCCTTGAGTGCTGCTTGAGAGAGGAGGCGACAGGTATGGGGGTCGCCGACCTCTGCAGGGTGAACCCGGATGCCTGGGACAGGGCTGTGGGGGAGGACTGGGCTGTGGCAGCTGACCAGGGCCGCAGCAAGGTCGGGGAGGGCTGGACCCAAGGGTAGGAGGACAAGCTGGACACCAGGGTCCCGGAGCCTGAGGCTGACGAGGCAAGGGAGGAGCGGGAGGGGATGGCAGTGGACATGCTGGTTATGGTGTTGGTCATGGTCTCCCTGTAGGGGTCCAGGTCCTTCTGGATGTCATCGGTCGCCAGATAGGTGAGCCAGCCCTGCTGGCCCGGGACCTTGTGTATCATGAAGTCAGTCTGGTCGGTGGGCGCCAGTTCACTGAAGTGTAAGCTTTGGTAGACCTGAGCTGAGATCTGTGGGGAACAGAGCAGGGGAGCATGGAGGTGGCACCTAGGACCAAGAGCTGGATCACAGGAAGGATGGGTCTTCCTGCGTGAAAGAAATCTCCAGAATGCTGTGGTTGTTACTGATGACCACAGCCTGCTGAGCCTGTGAGCCCACTGTGCGCCAGACCTGGCACCAACCCTGTGAGATCGGGACTGGGCTGTCCCCAGCTCAGAATGAGGCCTCCAGCTGGATTCCAAGGGTGTCCCCAGACGTGCTCCCACCGCTCCCGTGAGAACTTGCCAAGCTGTGCTTCAAGGCCCATCTCCAGGAGGAGGCAGGGATGCGAGGCGGTCCCTCACACCGACCTCTCCCCAGCTGGGACAGGAGAGTTATCACACATTTTCTGAGTCCCCAGCAAGAGCGAGGGAGCTCCCATAAAGCCCCGACAGCAGACGAGGAGGGAGAGGCTGGGACCTGCCCCATCCAAGAGGCAGGAGGCCCCACTCCCTCCCCTTCCCTCCGTCTCTTACTGACTGCATGCCTGGCTCAGGAACAGCCGGTAGGATGGACATTAACAAACGAATAGCCACAGGCTCTGAGATAGACTCTGAAGGCTCTCGCCAGCTGCCAGCCCACAGAGGAATCCCTCCCACAGGCCCCGTGAGGTTTGTCCTCAAGGACACCTGTGTCCATGGCCTCAGCCAGGCCCTTGGCAAACCAACCCCCCAGACTGGCTTCATTCTAGAACTGTCTGAGGCCCAGAATCTGTGAAAGGACAGATGTTTCCCTTGCCCCCGGTGCAGGGCCGTGTGGGCACGAGGGTGGCCGCTGACGGAGCCAAGCTCCCTGGCCTCCAGCCCTGGCATCTCGGTGAACCAGCCTCAGCCCAACCCACCTGGTACTTCATCCAGCCGTATGGCACATTAGTGGACAGGAGGCCGGGACTCCGCGACCGCTCCCTGGGCTTGTACGCTGCTCCCACAACTCTGCTCCCCTGCAAGAGTCAAAGGCAAGAGGGAAGGCTCGGGGCTAAGAGTTGGGGGACCCTCTACCCGCTGTGTCCCCCCGCAGCCTCACCTGCTTGCCCTGGGACTCCCACTCGCGCCAGCTGTTCTCAATGTCTTCAGAGGAGCGCCCTCCAGCCCATGGGGATGTCAGCATTATCTTCTGCAGCCTGGCCCAAGCCTCGGCCTCCGAGTCCAGCTTCCCACTCAGGAGTGCCAGGAGGGCCGCTTGCTCCCGCCGCTGGTGCACCAGGGCCTCCGCAAGGTCCCGCTCCTCCCTGATGGGAGGGACTTTCATTCACAAGATGTCCTCTGCACCATGAAGTAGGGTGGCCCTCCCAGAAACCCCAAGAGGGTTTTCTCCTCCTGGGCCTGATCCTCTCCAACCTTCTCATCCCTCCCCTGAGGCCATACTGCTCAAGGCCCATCACTGAGCAGGTGTTCCCTTAATGTTAGCAAAGCCCAGATTAAACTGGCCCCCGACAAGTCCTGTGACCCTTCCCACCACCCTGTGCTCTCGCCCATGGGGGCCTGACACCCTATGCTGACCTTACCTGGACCACCCCTTGTGGAATACTTAAACATCCTCTCCCTCCCAGGGAAACCACGCCTCTGCCTTGTTTGATATCCCCCAAGAGTTCTGTAAAGATGTATGCCTTGACAGGAGCCACAAAGACTCTGTGGGTGTCTGGAAAACTTACTTATATGTCAAAACCCAACTCCAAAATCTCTTCTTCTATGAAGGCTTCCTTACTCCACCCACTCAATTAGGTAACTGTCCTCTGAGCTATCCCTGTTCTTAATAGTCCCATCACTTATCACATACAACTGCAGCCATGGGTTTGCATGTCCATCTCCCCACGTGGACTGTGAGTTCTCTGGGGCACGATCTGTGTCTGGATTGTTTTGGATCTCTAAAACCTAGCACAGGGCCTGGCAGTCAGCAGGACCTCAATAGATATTTTTTGAATGACCCAAAATTATTTGAGACTTGGTCAGCAACAAGGGTGCTGCATGGGGGGGCGGGGGGACCTATAGAGGAAGGGACAAGTAGGAAGCAGCCTGCCCTCCCCATGAATCAGAGAAAGAGCACAAGTGTCTGCTCGGGACCAGAGCCCTGGGCACTCTCCTGCCAGGGGCGTCTGGCCACAGAGAAATGGCCTCTGCCTGGAAGCCAGATCCGGCAAATCTGACCCTGACTCTGGGCAGATCCCATCTAAGGACTCGGGTTCTCACGTTTTCCTCTGGTTTGTACTGCTCAGCCTTGCAGCTGAACTAGCCTAGAACACAGCCTCAGGCTCTTAGGCCAAAGCTGCCACCAGTGGAGACAAGCTGTGCAGGTCCCACGCCTCTGGCCTCGGAGGGCCCTCGCGAACATGCCCAGACCACCCAATCCAGATGAGGCAGCCCAGGCTTGGGGGTCCCAGCACCCCCTCCTCAGGCCAGACACCACCAGGCGGGCTGTGAGAACTCACCGCAGCTCTGAGTAGGACTTCTGGGCAGCGGCCATGGAGGCAGCCTCCTCTTTGAAGGTTTTTGTTAGTTCATGATCACCAGCCACCTGGGTATCCTGCAGCCTTTTCCAAACACTCAGGCCGAATGTGCCTGTGATTTAACCAGACCCAGCTTAGTACAAGGACTTGCACAGCCCCTCCTCCGAACCCTCTGCCCCTCACCCTCCACCCTCAAGAGTCAGCCAGCACCTCCTTACCCCTGGCCCACACCTCATGATGCCCACCCTATGCCAAGGATGAGGCTGGCTACTCAACAAATATCCGGAAGAATCAGACACTGGCCCCAGAATACACGTGGAGCATCCAGCCCCATATGTGGGCTGAGATGGAGGGAGTATTATGGCAATGATGGAGTGATCCTGATTCGGGCTTGAAGTAGCTCGTGTTTAAAATGGCAGTGGCACAAAATGATGAGGTATCCATCACATGAGATGTTTTGGGTGGGGCCGGGGAGGAATAGGGCTGGAGTAGAAAGTAGGTAGTGAGAAGAGAGAAACGTGAGTCCTGCTTCTGGGCAGGGTATAGTGAGTAGCAGGCCATTCTCCTGCAGCCGAATTTTTTTTAATTAAGAAAAATAAAACAGATATGTTATGAAATCATATTTTTAAAAATGAATGGAGAAGGGCCAGCCCCGTGGCCGAGTGGTTAAGTTCATGCACTCCGCTTCGGCGGCACAGGGTTTCGCTGGTTCAGATCCTGGTCGTGGACATGGCTCTGCTCGTCAGGCCATGCTGAGGAGGCATCCCACACGCCACAGCTAGAAGGACCCACAACTAAAAACACACAACTATGAAGTGGGGGGATTTGGAGAGAAGAAAAAAAAAGAAGATTGGCAGCAGTTGTTAGTGCAGGTGCCAATCTTCAGAAAAAAGAAAAAATGAATGGAGAACTGCAGAAGCAAAGAGGACTAGATAAACTAAAATTACAGAAAGGGAAGAGTCCTTCCAAGAAGAACTGAAATCAGGAGCTGCTTTCTCCTCTGGGCACAGCTGAGTGAAAATCAGGCTCGGCTTAGGGAGAAAGAAGACTGGAAGGAAGGAAAAACAGCAGAGTTTGTGATAGCCATTCTGGGTTAGGTCTATGAGAGTCCCAAAGGCACAGCTGTTTTCCCAGGACATTCGCTGAGCACTGGGGGAGCCGAGGGTCTGAGGGTTGGACTAGAAAGCCAGATGAGACTGTTGGGAGAGAGTCCCACCAGAGGAAGACTTCACCCTTGAGACAACTCAAGACAGAAGGAAACTCAGTCTACCTACAGCTGCCGTCCAGGGCCAAGCCAGCTCGATTCCTGACAGCACTGAGAGGAGCAGCCCTATACAGAGGAAGGAGCAAATGCACTGGAGGAAAAGCATATCAACTTCAGTCTCTACGGTTCTTTCATACAAAGTCCAGAAAAGTTTTGTTTGGGTTTTTTTTTTTTGTTTTCATTTTTGATTTCTTGTTTTGTTGGGTTTTTTTATGATAAGAAGTGAAAAGACAGGAAATATAATCAATAATCGAAAGAAGAAATAGGCATTAGAATCAGACCCACAGATAATTCAGACATTGGAGTTAGCAGATCAACACTTTAAAGTAACTAGTGTAAATAATGTTAAATAAAATAAAGGAAAATATGAACAAAATGGACAAACACTAAGACAACTCATGTCCAGCAGATCTGCACTACAAGAAATACTAAAAGTTCTTCAGGGAATGATATCAGAAGGCAGCCCAGATCTACAGAAAAGAAGGAAGAGCACCAGGAAGGGTAAGTATCTGGGTAAATATAGAAAACAACATATCCAGTAAAATATTATTATTGACTAAAAACAAAATTCAACATTGCATTGTGAAGTTTATAGCATATAGAGAGAAAAAAATACAACAAGAGCATAACGTACTATAGGGGAATAAATGGAATTATACTGTTGAAAATTCTGCGTTGTTCCTGGAGCAGTGTATTATTATTTAATGGTAAGACTGATAAGTTGAAAATTTTTATTTAACCTCTAGAGGAACCACTTAAAAACACAAACACACACAAAAATAAATAAATAAAAATAAATAAAAATATATATATAAGAAATTAAAATAAAAGCTGGATACACAGGTTGAACAGTAGATTAGATACAAATGAATGTGCATCGGTGAACTGGACTATAACTCTGAAGAAATTATTTAAAATGCAGCACAAAGAGAGAAAGAGAAAATAGGAAGGAGAGGTTATAAGACATGGAGGATAGCAAGCAGGCAGGCCCATAATATATCTATTGGGAATTCCAGAAAGAGAAACAGAAAAACAGAGGAGAGGCAATATTCAAAAAAATAATATCTAATGATTTCTCAGAATTCATGAGAGACACCAACCCCCAGATGCAAGAATCTAGGCCAGCATAAATTAAAAGAAATCCATACCTAGACACATCACGTGAAACTGCAGAATATCAAAGCCAAAGGGAAGATTTTAAAAGCAGTCAGATAGAATAGAGATTACCTATAAAGGAATCATGATTAAAATCGACAGCTGAATTCTCAGCAATAACAATGAAAACCAGAAGAAATTAACTAATAATAAAGCACTAAGAGAAAATAAAAAGAAAAAACACACACACACAAATAGACTAAAAAGTCAATACAAGAGATAGAATAGAAAACAAAACAAGTCCACTCATCCAAAATAAAAAGGAAAAGAGCAATAGAGGAACAAAGAGCAGATGAAACAAACAGAAAACACAAATTAAGATAGTGGATTTAAATCTAACCAGTAAATAAATACATTAAATGAAAAACAACAATTGAAACGGAGACATTTTCAGACGTTAAAAGTGAAAGGGTAGTAAAAGATATACCATGCAAGCACTATGCATAACAAAGCATACGAAAACTGGTCTGGCTATATAAATGTTAGAGAAAGCAGACTTCAGGACAAGGAACATTACCAAAAACTAAAAAGGCTTTTTCATAACAATAAAAGACTCAATTCCTCAAGAAGACATGATAATCTTGAATGTGGATATGCCTCACAATTTACAGCTTCAAAAATTAAAGCAAAAATGGAAAGAACAAAAAGGATGAATAGACAAATCCACAATCATTCTTGGATATTTTAACACCTCTCTCTCTCAGTAATTCATATAACAAGTAGACAAAAAAACAGTAGAGACATAAAAGATTTGATCAATACTACCAACCAGCTTGACCTATTGACATTTACACAATACTACATCCAACAGCAGCAGACCACACATTCTTTTCACAATACACACGGGACATGCACAAGATTGTCAATAAAATAGCCCATATAAAAGACCCAATAAGCTTCCAATGAACAAAATCATATAGAGTTTATCTTCTGACTGCAATGGTTTTAAAATAAAAATCAATAATAATAAGTAGCTAGAAAGTTCACCAAATATTTGAAAATTAACCATATACTTCTAAATTACTCATAGGTCAAAGAAAAAATTAGAAATCATTTTTGACTGAGAGAAAATAAGACTGGAAACTGAAAAGTCATACAAAAACTTGTGGGATATAATTAAAGCAGTGCCTAGAGGAAAATCTGTAGTTTCAAACACCGATGTTAGAAAAAAGGAAGATGTAAAACAAATCATCTAAGCTTCTACTTTAAGAAGTTAGAAAAAGAAGAGCAAATCAAATCCAAAGGAAATAGAAGAAAGAGAATAATTTTTAAATAAATAAAAGCAGGGGAGCTGTTGTTTAATGGGTATAGAATTTCAGATTTGCAAGATGAGAAAGTTCTGGAGATCTGTTGCACAATGATGTGAGGATATTTAACACTAAGAAACTGTACACTTAAGATGGTAAATTTAATGTTATGTGTTTTTTAACACAATAAAAAATGGAAAAAAGTTATTTGATAATTTTATGGATAAAAAGCTTAATAAATTATGCTATATAAACAAATAAATGCAGAAATATATAAAATAGGAAATAAACAAAGAATAGAAAAGAATCAATAAAGCCAAAGCTGATTCTTTGAGAATATTAATAAATTCATAAAGCTCTAGCCAAACTGATAAAAGAGAAAGGGAAAACACACATTGCTAGTATCAGGATGAAAAGGGGACATTAATAGAGATCCTGTAGACATTAAAAAGATGATAAGGGGCTCTTGTGAAGAACTTAATGACAACTTATTTGAAACTTAGATGAAAGGGACAAATTTCTTGAAAAAAATGAATTTATCAAAACTGACACAAGAAGAAATAGGAAACCTAAATAGCCCTATATCTACTAAAGAAATTGAATTCACAGTCAAAATCCTTTCCAGGGCTGGCCCCGTGGCCGAGTGGTTAAGTTCGTGCGCTCTGCTGCAGGTGGCCCAGTGTTTCGTTGGTTCGAGTCCTGGGCGCGGACATGGCACAGCTCATCAGACCACGCTGAGGCAGCGTCCCACATGCCACAACTAGAAGGACCCACAACGAAGAATATACAACTATGTACTGGGGGGACTTTGGGGAGAAAAAGGAAAAAATAAAAAAAATCTTAAAAAAAAAAATCCTTTCCATAAAGACAACTCTAGACCCAATGAGTTTAATCAGCGAATTATCAAATATTTAAGGAAGAGATAATATCCATTCTATATAAATTGCCCCGGAAGTTAAAGAGGGAGTACTTCCCAAATCATTCCGTGACACTAGCATTATCCTGATACTAAAATCAAAGACATTACAAGGAAACTTCAGATCAATATTCTTCATGAATATAGATGCAAAAATTCTAAACAGGGGCCGGTCCAGTGGCGTAGTGGTTAAATTCACACACTCTGCTTCAGTGGCCCAGGCTTCACAGGTTCAGATCCTAGGTGTGGACCTACACACCACTCATCAAGCCATGCTGTGGAGACATCTCACATACAAAATAGAGGAAGATTGCCACAGATGTTAGCTCAGGGCCAATCTTCCTCAAGCAAAAAAGAGGAAGATTGGCAACAGAGGTTAGCTCAGGGTGAATCTTCTTCACCAAAAAAAAAAAAGGAAAAAAGAAAAAAATTCTAAGCAAAATTTTACCAAATAGATTTCAACAGCATATTAAAAGAATAATACATCTTGACTGAGGTGTACCTCAGGAATGCAAGATTGGATTAACATTCAAAATTCAAAGAATGTAATTCACCACGTTAACAGAATAAAGGAGAAAAACCATACGATCATCACAATAGGGGAAAAATCATTTGACAGAATTCAACACCCATTCAAAGCCCTCTCAGCTAACTAGAAATAGAGAGGCTACTGTCAAAAAAGAAAGAAAACAGAAAATAAGTCTTGGTGAGGATGTGGAGAAATTGGAACCCTTGAGCACTGTTGGTGGAAATGCAAAATGGTGCAGCCACTATAGAAAACAGTGTAGAGCTTCCTTAAAAAATTAAAGATAGGGGCCGGCCCTGTGGCCAAGTGGTTAAGTTCGCACGCTCCACTTCGGCAGCCCAGGGTTTCAGCGGTTCGAATCCTGGGTGCGGACATGGCACCGCTCATCAGGCCATGCTGAGGTGGCGTCCCACATGCCACAACTAAAAGGACCCACAACTAAAATATACAACTACATACTGGAGGGCTTCGGGGAGAGAAAGAAAAAATAAAATCTTAAAAAAACATAAAAATTAAAAAAATTAAAAATTAAAAAAAATTAAAGATAGAACTACCATAGAATTCAGCAGTCCCACTTCTGACATCCAAAAAACAGGAAAGCAGGATCTCAGAGAGATATTTCATTGCAGCCTTATTCACAATATCTAAGTTGTGGAAACAACCAACCTAAATGTCCATAAATGCATGAATGGATAAACAAAAAATGTGGTACATACATATAATGGAATATTATTCAGCCTTTAAGAAGGAAATCCTGTCTTACGCTACAACATGGATGAACTCTGAGGACATTATGCTAAGAGCAATAAGCCGGTCACAGAAGGAAAACTACAGCATGATTCCTCTTATGGAGGCCTCTAAAGTAGTGAAACTCATAGGAGCAGGAAGGAGGATGGTGGCTGCAGGGGCCGAGGGGAGGCTATATGGGAGTTTCCATAGCGTACAGAGTTTCCGTTCTGCAAGATGACTGAGTTCTGGAGATCTGCTGTACAACAAAGTGCATGCAGATAACAGCACGTACTGCACACTGAAAATTTTGTTAAGAGGGTAGATTTCATGGGTTTTTTCCAGCATTATTGAGAAGTAACTGACATACAACATTGTGTAAGTTTCAGGTGTACAACATGATGATTTGATACATGCATACATTCTGAAATGATTAGCACAGTAAGTTTAGTTAACACATCTATCACTCACACAGTTACCATTTTATGGTACAATACTACATAGCGTCCGTAACTATAGTCACCATGCTGTACTTTAGATCCACAGACTTATTCATCGTATAACTGCAAGTTTGTCCCCTTGACCTCCTGCATACATTTCCCCCATCCCGCGCCCTGCCCCTGGCAACCACAGATCTACTCTGCTTCTACGAGTTTGATTTCTCTGGATTCCACGTGAGTGAGATCATGCAGTATCTGTCTTTCTCTGACATGTCTTAGCATAAAGCCCTCCAGTCTCATCCACGTTGTCACAGATGGCAAGATTTCCTTCTTTTTTTACGGCCGAATAATATATCACATTTTCTTTATCCCTTTATCCATCAATGGGCACTTAGGTTGTTTCCGTGTCTTGGCTGTTGTGAATAACGTTGCCATGAACCTGGGGGGTAGGGCAGTGCAGATGTCTCTTTGAGATGGTGATTCCATTTCCTTCAGATATAACCCAGAAATGGAAATGCTGAATCAGTAGATTTCATGTTATTTGTTTTTACCACAATAAAAAATGGATTTGGGGGGAAGATATAAAAAGCACGAACCACAAAGGACGAGATTGATTAAATGGATAACATTAAAACTAAGAACTTCTGTTCATCAAAACATATGACTGACACGAAAAAAACTCTGAACAAAATGGGGATAGAAGGGATCTTCCTCAACACAATAAAGACCATATATGACAAACCCACAGGCAACATCATACTCAATGGGCAAAAACTGAGTGCCATCCCCCTGAAAACAGGAACGAGACAAGGATGCCCTCTATCACCACTCTTATTTAACACAGTACTGGAGGTCCTGGCCAGAGCAATCAGGCAAGAGAAAGGAATAAAAGGAATCCAAATAGGGAGGGAAGAAGTGAAACTCTCGCTGTTTGCAGATGACGTGATCTTATATACAGAAAACCCCAGAGAATCCATTGGAAAACTTTTAGAAATAATCAACAACTACAGCAAAGTTGCAGGGTATAAGATCAATTTACATAACTCAGTAGCATTTCTATACTCTAATAATGAACTAACAGAAAAAGAACTCAAGAACACAATACCATTCACAATCGCAACAAAAAGAATAAAATACCTCCGGGTGAATTTAACTAAGGAAGTGAAAGATGTATACGATGAAAACTACAAGGCTTTTCTGAAAGAAATGGATGGCGACATAAGGAGATGGAAAGACATTCCATGTACTTGGACTGGAAGAATAAACAGAGTTAAATGTCCATTCTACCTAAAGTAATCTACAGATTCAACGCCATCCCAATCAGAATCCCAATGACATTCTTTACAGAAATAGAACAAAGAATCCTAAAATTCATATGGGGCAACAAAAGACCCCGAATTGCTAAAGCAATCCTGAGAAAAGAGAACAAGGCTGGAGGCATCACAATCCCTGACTTCAAAACATACTACAAAGCTACAATAATCAAAACAGCCTGGTACTGGTACAAAAACAGGTGCACAGATCAATGGAACAGAATTGAAAGCCCAGAAATAAAACCACACATCTATGGACAGCTAATCTTTTGACAAAGAAGCTGAGGGCATACAATGGAGAAAAGAAAGTCTTTTCAACAAATGGTGCTGGGAAAACTGGAAAGCTACATGTAAAAGAATGAAAATTGACCATTCTTTCTCACCATTTACTAAAATAAACTCAAAATGGATCTAAGACCTAAAGGTGAGACCTGAAACCATAAGGCTTCTGGAAGAAAACGTAGGCAGTACACTCTGACATCAGTATTAAAAGGATCTTTTCGGACACCATGTTTTCTCAGACAAGGGAAACAATAGAAAGAATAAACAAATGGGACTTCATCAGACTGAAGAGCTTCTTCAAGGCAAAGGAAGACAGGATTGAAACAAAAACAACAACCCACTAACTGCGAAAAAATATTTGCAAGTCATACATCCGAGAAAGGCTTAATATCCATAATACATAAAGAACTCACACAACTCAACAACAAAAAATCAAACAACTCAATCAAAAAATGGGCAGGAGACATGAACAGACATTTCTCCAAAGAAGATATACGGATGGCCAATAGGCACATGAAAAGATGTTCATCATCGCTGACCATCAGGGAAATGCAAATCAAAACTACACTAAGAGATCACCTTATACCCATTAGAATGACAAAAATAACCAAAACAAATAGTAACAAACGTTGGAGAGGTTGTGGAGAAAAAGGAACCCTCATACACTGTTGGTGGGAAGGCAAACTGGTGCAGCCACTATGGAAAACAGTATGGAGATTCCTCAAAAATTTAAAAATAGAGCTACCATACGATCCAGCTATCCCACTACTGGGTATCTATCCAAAGAGCTTGAAATCAGCAATTCCAAAAGTCCCATGCACCCCAATGTTCATTGCAGCATTATTTACAATAGCCAAGACGTGGAAGCAACCTAAGCGCCCATCAACTGATGATTGGATAAAGAAGATGTGGTATCTATCTATCTATCTATCTATCTATCTATATACATACACAATGGAATACTACTTAGCCATAAAAAAGAACAAAATCGTCCCATTTGTAACAACAAACAGATGCTCAACAGCACTGCTCCTCAGGGAAACTCAAATTGAAACCACAATGAGAGGCCACTACGTATCCATCAAAATGGCTAAAATTTAAAGCACTGACAATACCAAGTGCTGGAAGAATTATGGGACAGTAAGAGCTGCTGTCCACTGCTAGTGAAAGAGTGCAAATTGGTAACCACCTTGAAAGACCGTCTAGGAGTATCTGCTGAGACTGGACATATATACGCCGTGGGGCAGCAATTCTGTTCTTAGATTTCCAACAGAAATGCATACATTTGTTCACCAAAAAACATGTATAAGAATGTTCATAGCACTGTTATTTTTAATAGCCCAAAATAGCCAGAAACAACCCCAATGCCCACCAACAGTACCATAGATAAATAAATTATGGTATCTCAACAACAGAATGATGTTCAGCAATGAGAATGAATGAACAACCACATCAACAAACGGCTGAACTGCACGAACATGATGGTGTTTGAGAGAAAGAAGCCAGGTACAAAGGAGAACCTAGGCATATTTCCATCTATAAAAAATTCAAAACCAGACACACCTACTCTGAGGATTTAGAAATCAGGATAGTGGTTACTTTTGGAGAGGAGTGGGTAGTGATGGTTGGGGTGGGGGGATAGGGAGCCCCGAGTGCTGGTAATGTTCTGCTTCTTAATATGATGGTGGCTCAATGGGTATACGTTTACTTTCTGAAAATTCACCAAGCTGAACCCTTTTGGTTTGTGTACTTTTTTTAATGTATGTTTTAATGCAACATTTTTTAAAAGAGAAAGGAATATACCTTATCAGATATACGATTTGCAAAAATATATGAAGGCAAATGATGTTGGGTGAATGAGTGGATGGAGACTTGATGGATGAATGGACAGACCGCTAAATGGACAACCGGATAGACTCACACCCTGTAAGACTATTTGAGCAAAGACAACTGCTGTGGCCTAAACCCCCCACCCCACAGGATATAAGGTTTATGTCAACTTATGTTCGAACAGGAACAGGGACAGGAAGGGCCATGGGGCATGGCTGAGCTTCAGCAGGACTCATACCAATGGCATCACCGGTGAGTTTCCAAGCCTTGACGTCCCGGTCCTGCCCAGCGCTGATAACCAGTTGGAAGCTGTCCACATACAGGATGTCTGCCACACTACCCAAATGGCCCTTCCAGGTAATCAGAAGCTTGGGGGGGACTAGGGAAATGGTCTGGCCAGCCACGACCTAGAAGGGACAGTACAGGAGAACTACTTATACCAAAGCCATCACACAGGCTCATCAGAGGGCACCGAGGACTGGAGGCAGCAGAGTCCACTGGAAGGGCCCCTGGACATGGGCCAGGGTTCTAGCTCTGGGACCATTCCCATGTTAACTTTCTGGTGACCTCAGGTACGTCCCAGCACTCCTCTGGCCCCCACTGGCTCCTTTGGTAAAATCATAAAAAGCCTTTGCATACTGCTATATTGTTTACCAAGTACCTCCATACGGATTCTTCCAGTGGAACATCACAACACGAGTCTCATCATTTCACAGAGGAGAGACAGGGACGTTCAGTAACAGCCCAAAGCCACCTAGCTAGAAAGTGATGGGGCTAGGACAAGAACCCAGGTCTTCCTCTAAAGATACTCAGCTGGGCACTGGGAGGAGAACAGGGTGAGTAAGGGGGTGATGTATCACGTTATACTATGAAGGAACAAACTCTACTAAACTGGAAACTGAGTGACAATATCCAAGACCATTTTTAAATAAAACAAGATAATTGAAGAGGAACATATTTTACCATATTCAAGCTTGTTAAGTCACAATAATAAAACTTTAAACAGAACAATGGAAGACAATAGGGAGCTCAGAAACCACCCAAATATACACAGAAAACTTTGGTGTAAGATAAGAGGGGCAGGAAGACTTGCGGTGACGGAGCGGACTGGACAAACAGTGCTGGAATGCCTGAGGAAGCATTTAGAGAAACTCACATCATTGTCACATGTCTTACAAGTAAAGAAACACTCCGACGGTCAAAGAATTCTTTTTAATGAAACCATAAAACATCTCAAAGAGGGGCCAGCCCAGTGGCGTAGTGGTCAAGTTCTCATGCCCCAGTTTGGTGGCTCAGCGTTCACTGGTTCAGATCCCAGGCACAGACCTACACACGACTCATCACGCCACGCTGTGGAGGCATCCCACATACAAAATAGAGGAAGACTGGCACAGATGTTAGCGCAGCACCAGTCTTCCTCAGCAAAAAAGAAAAATGAAGAAAAATCTGAAGAAAAGTGTGAGTGACTACTTATCTCTGAATTAAGAAAGTGATAGGCAATGAGAAATATCACAATGGGAGGAAAAATTGACCACAAAAAAATATTATAATTTTTAAATCATCATAAATGAAATTAAAAGGCAAATGACAAACTGGGGGGAAATATTTGCAGTGCCTATGACAATGAGTTAATATCTTTTAATATATTTTTAAATGATTATACATCATTTACAAAAGATGGTTACCACAATAGAAAAATGGGCAATAAACACTTATTGAATGCCTTCAATAAGCAAGGCACTCTGATGGACCCAGGGGACCCTCCTTCAGATGATACCGCTGATAACAAATACCTCATGTCGTCAAGGACGAAGCAAGACAGGCTAATAAAATACAAAACTCTCAATGTTCGGAAGCGTGGTGTGGCAGCACGCATTAACGTCCTGAGAAAGATTTACGTTCTTTTACATACTATTTCCTCGGGACAAACTGTTTGCAGATAAACAACTACAAACAAAAGACTCGTGAAAAAGCCTATTTGCTCCATCATTTTTACAGCTTTTAAACCCAGCTTTACTGAAATATAACTCACACACAATTTACCCAAAGTGCTCACCTCAGTGGTTTTTCGTACACACACAGTTTGCAACCACCATCACAATCAATTTTAGACCATTTCCTCACCCCAAAAAGAAAGCCTGTACCCACTCACGGTCACTCCTCATTCCACCCCCAGCTCTGGGAACCCCATAATCTACTTCTGTCTCCATAGATTTGCCTAATTCTGGACAGTCTGTATAAATGAAATCATACAAGATGTGGTCTTTCGTGACCGGCTTCTCTCACGGAGCACACCGTCTTCAAGGCTTCTCAGGCTGTGGCCTGTATCAGTACTTCACTCCTTCTTATTATTCAGTAACATTCCAATGTAGTGATAGCCCACAATTTATCCTTTCATCAGTTATGAACATTTGGGTTGTTTTCAAGTTTGGCTATCATGACTAATGCTGCTATAAACACGTGTACAAGATATCGTATAGACATATGTTTTCACTTCTCTTGGGTATACACTTAGGAGTGGCACTGCCGGGTCATAGGCTGACTCTATGTTTAACTTTTTGAGGAACTGCCAAACTGTTTTCCAAAGCGGTTGTTCCACGTTACATTCTCACCAGCAATGGATGAGAGTTCCAATCTGCCCATATCTTAGCCAACACTTATTATCTGTAGCCATCCTAATGAGCACGAAGTGGGATCTCATTGTGGCTTTGATAGGTATTGCCCTGATGGCTAATGATGTTCAGCATCTTTTCATGTGCTTATTGGTTATTTGGATGTCTTCTTTGAAGAAATGTTTAGATCCTTTGGCCATTTTTCAATTGGGTTGTCTCTTTTATTGTTGAGTTGTGTGAGTTCTTCCTATATTCTAGATACTAGTCTCTTATCAGATATATGATTTGCAAATATTTTCTCCCACTCTACAGGTTGCCTTTTCACTTTCTAGATGGTGTCCTTTCAGGCCAAAAGTTTTAAATTTTGATGAAGTTCAATTTATCTATTTTTTCTTTTGTTGTGTTTTTTGCTGCCATATCTAAGAAATACTGCCTAACTCAAGGTTGTAAAGATTTCTCTCTTGTCCTCTTCTAAGAGTTTTATAACTTTAGCGCCTATGGTCCATGATCCACTTGAAGTTCATTTTTGTGTCTGTTGTGAGGTACGTTTTTGTGTATGTTGTGACTTTGTTCTTTTGATGTGGATATCCAGTTTTCCCAGCACCATCTGTTTAAAAAGGCTATTCTCTCCTCCATTTGATTGTCTTGGCACCCTTGTTGAAAATCAATTGATGAGAAATGTTAGGGTTTATTTTTCAACTATTAATTCTATTTCGTTGACCTATATGTCTGTCCTAACGTTAGTACCACACTATCTTTACTGTAGCTTTGCAGTAAGTTTTGAAATTGGGAAATGTGAGTCCTCCAACTCTGTTCATCTTTTCCAAGATTTTTTGGACTATTCTAGGTACTTTGTATTTTCATATGAATTTTAGGATCAGCTTGTCGATTTCTTCAAGAAAGGCTGCTGGGATTTTGATATAGATTATATTGAATCAATTTGGGAAATACTGCCATATTAGGTTAGATCTTCTAATCTATGAACATAGGATTTTTTCCAATTTATTTAGGTGTTCTTTCATTTCTTTCAACAATGTTTTGTAATTTTCAAAGTACAAGTTTTTCATTACTTTTGTAAATTCACTCCTAAATGTTTTATTCTATTTTAATACTATCGCAACTGAAACTGTTTCCTTAATTTCATTTTAAGATTGTTCACTGCTAATGTACAGAAATACACTGATTTTTTTGTATATTGATCTTGTTCATGCAACCGTGTTTAACTAATTTGTTAGTTCTTATAGATTTTAGTGGATTCTTTAGGATTTTCTATGTATAAGATTTATGTCGTCTGAAAATAAAAAGGTTTTACTTCTTCCTTTCCAATCCAGATGTCTTTTATTTCATTTTCTTGCCTAACTGCTCTTCCAGTAAAACGCCGGAAGAAGCGGAAAGAGCAGACATCCTCATCCTGGTCCTGATCTTAGGAGGAAAGAATTTAATCTTTCACCATTAAGTATGATATTAGCTGTGAGTTTTTCATAGATACGTTTTATCAGGTTGAAGAAGTTTCCTTTTATTCCTTGTTAACTGAGTGCTTTTATCAGGAAAGGGTGTTGGAGTTTGTCAAATGCTTTTTCTGCATTTGTTGAGACGATTATGTGTCTTGTGTTTCTCATTCAATTAATATGGCATAACATTGCCATATTGATTTTGGACATTAAACCAACTTTGCATTCCTAGGATAGGTCTCACTTGGTCATGGTGTTTAATCCTTTTCATATGTTGCTGGATTCAATTTGCTAGTATTTTGTTGAGGATATTTGCATCTCTATCCATAAGATATATTGGTCTGTAGTTTTATTTTCTTGTGATGTTTTTGATTTTGGTATCAAAGTAATTCTAGCCTCACAGAAAGTTCTTTTGGAAGAATTTTTTAAGAAGTCGCATTAATTCTTCTCTAAGTATTTGTTAGAATTCACCAGTGAATCCATCTATATCTGGACTTTCTTTGTGAGATGTTTTATCACTAATTCAATCTTTTTACTTGCTATATTCAGATTTTCTATTTCTTCAGATTTTCTATTTCTTCTTGAGCCCATTTTGGTAGTTTGTATCTTCCTAAGAATTTGTCCATTTTCTGTCATTTTTTGACAATGAAAAGTTAGAAACCATCCTATTATCCAACAATAGGTAACAAGTTAAATAAATGATTGTAGGTCTATAAAGTGAAATATTACTTAATCATTAGAAAGCTTGATTTTCAAAAAATATTTGATGCTATAGGAAATTCTAGTTACATACAATATAATCCCAATTTGTTTAAAGTATATCCGTATAAAACTAAGAGCAGATGGTCAGGAACACAGACTCTGGAGTCAGACAGTCTTGGGTTTACTCTCAGGTCCAAACTGGCCGCTGTGTGAGCTTAGACACGTCCCTCCAGCTCTTCAGTTTTATCTTCCTCATCTGAAAAATAGTATCTCCCTCACAGAGTCATTATGGGGATTCAATGAGAAGATACATAAAAGCACTTATCACAATCACTAAAACATAGTGAATAAATGACACATTATTGTTGTTATTATAATGCTTATATTAACATTGTAGATTCCTCATATACTGAATCCATGGGTAACCAATTCCCAACAGATCTGAATGCAGTGAAATTCTCTTCTTATTGAAACTAGGCTAGACATAATATATTTGTGCAGGGAGTCAAGAGGCACCTAAGACTGCAAGATGGCTATCAAAATTGAAAATGCATACAACTCTTTGACCTAGCAATCCCACTTCCAGGAATTTATCCTACAGACATTTTTGTCACATATGTAAAATAATATATTCACTATTCACTTTTATCTAAGAACAAAAGACTGAAAACAATCTCAATTTCCCTTAAAAGGGAATTATATCAATAATATATCCTATGGTGTACTACACAGCCATAAAAAAATAATGTACTGATATGCAAAAATCGCCAAGATATATTATAGAGTTAAAAAAGCAAGGTGAGGGGCCGGCCCAGTAGCGCAGCAGTTAAGAGCGGACGTTCCGCTTCGGCAGCCCAGGTTTCGGCGATTTGGATCCTGGGTACGGACCTACACACTGCTTGTCAAGCCATGCTGTGGCAGGCGTCCCACATATAAAAAGTAGAGGAAGCTGGGCACGGATGTTAGCTCAGGGCTGGTCTTCCTCAGCAAAAAGGGGAGGATTGGCAGTAGTTAGCTCAGGGCTAATCTTCCTCAAAAAAAAGAAAGAAAGAAAGCAAAAAAAAGCAAGGTAAGGGCAAGCCCCATGGCCAAGTGGTTAAGTTCACATGCTCCACTTCACGGCCCAGGGTTTCACTGGTTCGGATCCTGGGCGCAGACATGGCACCACTCATCAGGCCATGCTGAGGTGGCATCCCACATGCCACAACTAGAAGGACCCACAACTAGAATATACAACTATGTGCTGGGGGGCTTTGGGGAAAAGAAGGAAAAAACAAAAAAGAAGATTGGCAACAGTTGTTAGCTCAGATGCCAATCTTTAAAAAAAATAAAATAAAAAAGCAAAGTGAGTACTGTGTGTATGACATGCTACCTTCATGTAAAAAAAAGAGGGAAATAACTTTACACATTTGTGTTTGCACAAGTAAACACCAGGAAAATAAACAAAAATCAACAGAAGTGGTTAATTCCGGGAACAAGGACTGGTTTTGGGGGAGGACAGCAGTGGGACTAAGACGACTCCTCACCATGAGCCTTTGCACACCGCCTCATTTTTTAACTTTCACTGATGTATAACACACATACAGGACAATGTACACATCATAAATGCACCACTGAATGAATTTTTTACAAACAGAATGTGATGGTATGATCAGACCTGGGTAAGGAAACAGAGAGCTGTCCGGCCCCTAGAACCTCACTCCTTCCAGCCACTCCAACCCCCAACGAAGATAATCACTTCTGATAGGATAGCTTTGTTTTGCCTGTTTTTGTACTTGACATAAATGGAACTATAAAACATACAAGATATACTCTCTTGTGTTTGACTTCTTTTACTTAAATTGTTTGAAGAATTTCTCATTTTGTAGCAAATGGTTGTGAGATCATTCACTTCCAATGCTGGATGTTATTCTACATAGTGTGTATACTACAATCTATTTTTCTATCTACGTTGATGGGCATTGGAGTTGTTTCAAATGTGGAGTTATCACACATCATAATCCTGTCAACATTCCTATTCACGTTTCTTAGAGAACAGATTTCTCTAGGGTATGAGCGCAGGAGTGGGATCGCTGGGCCGCAGAGTAGGCATACATTCAGCTTTAGAAGCTACTGCCAAACAGTTTCCCAAAGCAGTCACACCAACTTACATTCCTACCAGCAAGGGAAATTCCAGCTGATCTATATCGTTGTCAGCATTTGGTATTGCCTGTCTTTTAGTTTTAGCCATTCTAGTGGGCGTGTAGTGGCATCACATTGCGGCTTTAATTTGCATTTTCCTGATAACTAATGAAAGGTGCTCAACTTCAGCAGTCATCAGGAAAATATCAAGTGATTTTTGAACTATGTATATGAATTACCTACTCAAGGAAATACATAAGTATTTTCATTATTTTTAGAAAGAATTCGTGACTCCAGGGCCCTCATTGCAAAGATCAAAGCACAAGGAATGGGTGTGTGCGTGTGTGTGTTTACATATGCATGTGGTTGTATTTAATGTGTGCACACTTGTGTTTTACTGGTTAAGGGTGACTTCTGGTTAACAGAAACTTCTCTGCATCAACCAGACAACCCTGAACAGGAAACATGAGACTCAGAGCCTCAGTGAGAGAACTGTGGTCCTGGCTCATTAATGGGGCTCAAAGGCACTTTTCTGAGCAACCATCCAAATCATCTTCCTACCTCCTTCTCCTTCAAGGGGACGTAGTATGGGAGGCTGGTCCGGATCCGTTTAGGAATTAAGAACTGGAACTTGTTTACTCCACTGTGTTGGGATGACCGCTTGTCAGTGGGTGTGCAGTAATCCTTGATGTCCCAGATCTAGGCACAAAGTGTGGGTTACTGTAGCGGTGACCCCAACACCAGCTCACTCTGTGGGCCCTCCCCCACACCATTTCTCCTCACTTTAGGGGGCAGTTCTTACTCACACCTCTCAGATACCCAGACATTCAGAGCCAGAAGGGGCCCACGGGATCTCAGCTAGCAGGCAGAAAGGGTGTGACTGGCCCAAGGACAAGATACTCTTGCCTCATGTCTCACAATGCATGAAATCAGTTCCAGAGACAGCTGATCACAGATCAGATGCATGGTTGGAGGGTGAAGGAGTTGTAGGAAGAGAATGATGGAGCACAGGACCCACTGGGGAAGGCTTCTTGGAGGCCCTTTTGAATCATGCCCTCCCTCATTTCACTGGGCACATCAGAGCAGGAGAGGGCTTCCAAGGTAACCCACCCTACCCTCTACTGTTTTACAAATGAAACCAGTAGCCAGAAGGAGTAGGGACTAGGCTAGGGCCACATGTGGCAAAGAGGTGGCCAGAACTTGGCTGACGCCAACTCCTCAATCTTAATGCCAATTCTTCCTCACCTTGATGTGTCCTTTATTATCCCCTGTGACAAGGATGCAGTCATTTTCATCAGTGGCCATGGCGCCCACAACCACGTCCCACTTGTCTTCCAAGTCCACAGGGAACTTCCCCAGCAGGCCACCATTCCCATGGATGGACCAGGCATAGATGCAACCATCCGCGCAGCTGCTCAGCAGGGCGGCTGTGTGTGGCAGGCGAGGCCTGGTCTGCAGGAAGATTATCTGTACAAAAGATGTGAGCCTGCTCAGCAGTGCTGCCTGCTGGGCTCACCCTAACCGCTGTCCACGGTGCTGAGGGGCCCCGGCCAATCACCAGATCCAACTGGTCCCCCAACTTCCTGGATGCCCAGTGAGAATGGTAATGGGACACCACCTTTCCTACCTGGCTAGTGACAGGAGCATTTTGCTGGACTATGAGCTCCCTGAGGCTAGGGAACTGTGTCCTTTTTTGTTTAGTACTTTATCCTCAGCAATTGCAATGGTGCCTGACACATGGCACATGACCAATGAATGGTTATTAAATGAAGACACACAAGTTTGATTTGTCCTGGGCTCACACAAGATTTTCCAAGTCCTGTAACTCAACTCAAAGTGATTTGGAGAACGAACTCATTCCTCTTCATACATTTCTAGGTGATATGCTCATATTTTCCAGCCAATTGTCAAGAAAGCATTTTATCCAAATTCTTCTTCAAGTCTTGATTTGACCATGCCCTTTGCTAATTTCCCCCTCTGCTCACTGTCACCTTACATGTCACCCCTGTGGTCCACTTGGGGGCCACTGTGGGAAGTGACTGCAAGACGAGCATGAGAAGAGAGCGCTTACCTGGTACCCACCCTGCATGCGGAAGAGAGTCTGGTCATGGGGGGTGAAGTGAGAGGCCTCCCCACCTCTCCTGAGTCAGAAATTATAGTATGGTGGCTTATGTGTCCCCAAAACAAGTCACTACCACCAACAACAAAAACCCTATTTCCTAACTGTCATAGAGATCTAAAACAAAACGCTCAAACTGCTTCCCATTGGCCCAGGTGCCAAGGTCACAAAACCAGGAGTCCTTAAAGCAACAATGAAGGGCAAGCATTTCCTCACTTCATGCAAGTGTACTTGTGCACCATACAAAACGTGGACAGCACAGACAGATGAAAAGAAATTAAAATTACCCACTGAATCCCAGAAAGAATCACCATTAAGATTTTAATGCATTTCCTTCCAGCTTTTTTCTGATTGCATTGTCTACAAAGACTTTTACCAGATCTTTTAAAATTATGAAATATACATGCATGAATAGACAAATATACCAATGGAACAATAGAGAGGATCCAGAATAGGTTACAGAAGACTATGCTGGGGCCCAGGATAGGCCACCCCAAAATATCCTACAATAGCATACTGATTATTTTGAATTAAAGTTACTTGAAAAACAAAAAGGGCAGTCTGACCCAGCTGTCTCTGTTCCCCTGAAGGCAGGAAATCAATCTCCTCTGTGAGAGGCGCTCTCCCTGCATCCTGATCCCCAGAGCCAGGGATTCAGGACAGAGGAGCCGGCATAAACAGACCTTGCTAATTAACGACCTCAAGCCTAAATTCTGCTTAAATTCTTCACTATTTACGTACCTCAAATCTAAGTGTCTTTGTCCTGTCAATTCCTCACAAATTTTTGTTTCTTTGTGTAGAAGATATATATACACTGCCTGCTTTGTTCACTCTCTGAGCAGGATTTCTCTGTGATCTCCAATATGTACACATTAAACTGGGTTTTTCTCCTGTTAATCTGGTCTTGCATCAATTTTACTATTAGTCCAGCCATAAGAACACAAGAAGAGAAGAAAGGGAAATTTCCCCACTTTAACTGCTATAATATGTATGAATGATGGAATCCTAAGCCAGTGGAGAAAAAGTAAACTGTTCAATAAGTGGTATTTGAACAACTGGCTACCAATTTAGAAAAAGAAAATTAGATTCATACATCACACCTTACATAAAATTACTTAGATGGGACAAAAAACTAACTAAAAACATATAAAATCATAAATGTCTAGAAGAAAATATAACAAATTTTCCTGTGATCTTGAGATAAACAATGCCTTTCTCTATTGTCAGAAAAAAAAATAACAAAGATGGCTAGATAAAAATTAAAACTTCAGTGTGATACCACAAAGGCAGATGAAGTGTAAATATTTGAAAAATACAACAAGCCAAGGATTCATTTCCAGAGCATATAAAGAGCTCCAAGAAATTAATACAAAAAAGAATGGACAAAGCATATGAACAGACATTTAAATTCACTGAAGAAATACAGACGTCTAACAAATATAAAAAAAGCTCAACATCACAAATAGTCAAAGAAATATCAAAAAACAATGCTATTTTCCACCTACCAGAGTGACAGAAATTAAGAAAAGGCTGCTGTCCAGCTCTGGCTCTGTGTGAGGACAAAGGCAGAGGCACACGCTGTTGAAGGGAATGGAGACCATCACAGTCTCCCTGGAGAGCAAACTGGCCTGATGTGTACGCAAGGAAGACAATCCTTTACCTTCTAGGTCCTTCTGGCTGGTCTACGAATTAAATTGACATGAGCCAGAATAACAGGAGAAAATCAAACAAAGTTTGATAATATGTATACATGGAAGTAAACCCAAGAAAAATGGCCAAGGTCAACACCTTAAACATCATCCTCAGCTAAAGACAAAGGAGGATGTTGGGGTGGGGGTAGTCAGTTACGGGAGATTACCAGAAAAAGTACAGTAAGCAAGTGTAAGGTTATTATGCAGATTTAAGTCCTTGCCTTCCACATTGATAAGAGTTTCTAGAGATAAAGTCGTCCCCCTCTTCCTGGTACAGAGAGGAAGAGATCTTACAGATGGAGACTTCCCTTACAAATGTAAATGTTTCTTACAAAAGGTAACTTTTACTTGGTTTTCAGAGCTTCTCCCCTATCTGCACTTTCTTAAAAGTAACCAATCCAATTATGTTAAGTGAAATAAGCCAGATAGAGAAAGACAACCTCTGTATGACTCCACTCATATGTGGAAGTTAAACATGTGGACAAAGAGAACAGATTAGTGGTTACCAGGGTAAAGGGAGGTAGGGAGTGGGCACAAAGGGTGAAGTGGTGCACCTACAATATGACTGGCAAATAATAATGTACAACTGAAACTTCACAAGGTTGTAAACTATCATAATCGCAATAAAAAGTAAAAAAAAAAGTAACCAACCCAAAATAATCCTCATGCCAAAGAGACATATCTTGAGGTGGCCAATTCTGCACCCCAACGACTGATCACAGCATGAACTATGCACACTTGCTGACCCACTAGTCCCACTTCTGGGAAATCTGGCATAACTGCACAGACAGATCCATAAGGATCTCAAATTGCACCATTGTTCGTAATAGTGAGAAACTAGGAACAACTTAAAAGTCTGTCAATTAGGCATTCATTAAGTAAATTATGGCAAATCCAAAAAAACACACTGCAGCCAGGGGCAGATTTACTAGTGAAGTTCATGAAGTTCAAGGCGAAGGTCAAGTTCAAGCCCCTTCTAAGGTCCTGGGAAAACCAGCAACATTTGGTGACTGCTCTAATTGTCAGCTCTGAAGGCTTCAGAATTTGTTGTCATTTGTTTTCTTATTCTAAACAAATTTTCACTTTTGTACTAATTTTTTGTGCATAATTTTGTGTTATTTTTCTTAAAGATTGACTCCCAAATTGTACAAATTTCAGGCTCCAAAAAACCTAGATCGGCACCCCGTACGAAGCTATTAAAAAGAATGAAGTAGATAGACATGCAGGCACTGAGAGGAGAAGTCGTCTACTGTACATGGCTAAGTCAAAAAAAAGCAAACAGCTCAACTACAGTCTCAAATGCTCCCAGTTTTGTTTGAAAACCAAAACCATACCTGTGTGTATATATAGTATATAGGCATTTAAAAATAAATCTCAAAGACGCACATTTGATACTTTGTAGTAGTCACTACTATACTTTAAGGAAATTTTTAAAGTTTTGTAATAAGCAACCCAAACAACTTGAAATCAACAATCCAAAGTAACATACGCACCCCTATGTTGATTGCAGCACTATTCACAATAGCCAAGACATGGCAACTATCCAAGTGCCCATCGACCGATGATTGGATAAAGAAGATGTGGCATATATACACAATGGAGTACTACTCAGCCAGAAAAAAAGACAAATCACCCCATCTGTAACAACATGGAAGGACCTGGAGAGAATTATGCAAAGAGAAATAAGCCAGACTGAGAAAGACAAACACCAGATAATGTTACTCATATGTGGAATATAAAGAAGCACAGGGACTAAGAAACCAGTTCAGTGGTTACCAGGGGAAGGGGGGTGGGGGGTGGGCACAGGGGGTGAAGGGGAGCACTTATGTGGTGACAGACAAGAAATAACGTACAACTGAAATTTCTCAATGATGTAAACTATTATGAATTCAAATTTTTTAAAAAATTTGTAATACGCATACTCCAGATCATTAAGTTTTCCCCTAAAATGGGGTTCCTCATAGCTGCACAGGATTCACCAAAACGATATGCCACAAAGAGCTCCTATTTCTGAACTGCAGAAAGCTGAGGCTTCCTCCCCAAGCCTTCCTGCACCGCCCTGGGACAGCTAGAGCTGGCGGGAGTGAGGTGAAAGGATGGTGGCAGCCTCAGAGAGGGCCGTAGGCCCCAAAGGGAGCACACAATTGGGGCTGTGTGGCCAGTGTCAGGAGTGTGCACAGTCAGGACGCTGGGCCCTAGGCAGGACAGAGCGGGACCCGTGTGGCTGGGAGGCAGGTAACCGACACTATTCCTTTTGCACTCTGCACCTGGTCCCTGAAACCTCAAACGTATCCCTCTGCTCATTTTGCAAAGAGCTGCTGGACTGAGGTTGGGCATTCCAGCCTCCCTCAGTCCAGTGGTCCCGATGGTTCTCAACCACAGAGGGACTAAAGGCCCCTTCAGAAGCAGCTGAGGCTACACCCGGGCTGGGCTTCATACCTTTCAGAGCAATTTGCCACTTCCCACCTCTTTGGTCCTCACCACTAGGGAGAGGGCCCAGGACGGGGCCTCATCTAGAGTGTAAGGGACACAGCTGTGCCTGGATCCATGTCCTTGCCTCCTTCCCAGTGCCCTTTCTGCCATACCCCCCAGTCTTCGGAGGCCAGACAGAAATGGTGAGAAGGAAGACCAGACAGACGAGACACTCTCCCAGGTGTCCTTGCCCCAGCCCACTCCCACCCCTCGTCCACTAAGGAAAGGCCGGGACCAAGGGTGACCCAAGAGCTCTGGACCCTCTCCAGGGCACCATCCTGAGAAGTGTCACTCTATCTGCCCCCCAGCTCCTCAGAGGGAAGAGACTTTGCAGGTCAAGGAGCAGTGGGGGTGAAGACAGAGCTCTTAGGAGCCAGGGGCAAGGGTCAGCATCAGAAGTAAGCCCACTTCAGACAGTGCCCGGCACATGGAGACGCTCAATGAATAACTGTGCCCTGACAGGACGAGGTCACCAACCCAAAGGTGGGCTGTAAGTCCCCGATCGGATTCACAGGTTGAAAGAGACGGGGTCTTCTGGGCAATTCTGCTTCCAGGAATCCATCCTTTTGATACTCACACAAGTGCACAGAAATGTATGCACAGGGATGTCCAGTGCAATGCAGCATGTAAAGTTAAAAACTAGAACTAACCTGCCTATCAGTGGAAGACTGGCTTAACAGTTTATGATGCCTCCAAACGATGGGGCATGGTGCAACTATTAAAAAGAATGAGATAACAAAAGAATAAGCTGAATAAAAATTGCTGGTGTGAAAATATATCCAGGATACACAATTAAACAACGAAAAAGCAGGACAGCTATAATTTAGCTATAATTTTATGTCACTGGTCTAAAAATAAAAAGGACACAAGCTAAACCAATCCGTTAGCAGTGACTGTGACTACTGTGGGGATGGCATGGACTGTGGGGAGACACAGGGGACCTTTAGTTTTTACTTTGCACACAAAGTAGTTTTTCTTTTCTTTCCTTCTGTCTTTCTTTTTTTACCAATCAGCATTATTACTTTTTAAAGCTTTTTTAAAGGGTTTTTTTCTTTGGTGAGGAAGATTGGCCCTGAGCTGACATTCATTGCCAACCTTCCTGTTTATGCTGAGGAACATTAGTTAAAGGCATTTTTAAAAGAGAGGAGGGGCCGGCCCTGTGGCTGAGTGGTTAAGTTCGCACACTCTGCTTCAGAGGGCCAGGGTTTCACCAGTTCGGATCCTGGGCATGAAGACGGCACCACTCGTCAAGCCATGCTGAGGCGGCGTCCCACACGCCACAACTAGAAGGACCTACAACTAGAATATACAACTATGTACAGGGGGGTCTGGAGAGAAGAAAAAAAGAAGACTGGCAACAGATGTTAGCTCAGGTGCCAATCAAAACAATAAAAATGTAACAAAATAAAAGAGAGGAAACCACATTCAGAACGTGGAGGAGAGAATATCCAGCCCCTCAGAGCCCTCCACTCCCCCACCACAGGACCCGGCTCTGCAGGGCACTGCTCCCCTGTTCCTGAGTGCCTGGTCTCTGGAGCTGGGTGAGGGGGCACTCCTGCCCACCCTAACATAACTCTGATTCGTATTTTCACTGGGCTCACGTTAAGGACTTAGGAAACCTAGTCTCTGAATTACACTATCTCTGCAGATTAAAGCCGGAAGGGGCCTTAGGGGTCACCTCAACCATGGTGACACAGTGAGGGGCATCCAGGGTCAGAAAGGGGAAAGGCACAGGAGGAAGAGAGAAGAACAGAGGACTGGATGCACTCATGTGCTGTACCAAACACCCTACAGAGCCCCAGAGGGCATTTAATGGGATTCTGGGAATGCTGCTTCTCCCACCTCCCAGTCCAGCCCCCCAACCAGGAGGGGACACTGGTCACCTCCCTAGACAGAACCCCCATACCCAGGGAGCACCCCCCAGACAGAGCAGCCCTGAAGCCAGAATCCTCAGCAGCACCATCCTCTCCTCCATGCCTCTCCAGGCCCTGGGGAGAACCAGGCTGGGCCCCTCAGGTCCCCCAGGCTCATAAGCACTGCATTTCCCGGCCCCATCCCAACAGTTGACCCCCCGGCTCACACCCCAGACCCTGCCTAAGCCTGGACAACCTTCTCCACCGATGCATTGGACTGCAGCGATATCTTCTTCATGAGTTCCCCTTTTCTCTTTTCAGCCTCTGTTAAAAGTGACTGTGTGCCACGCGGCATTCTTGACGGCTTGGGGCTGCCAGTGTTGAGAGGTTTCTGGAAAGCAAAATGGGCCTCCAAGGTCATCATGAGGGGGTCCCCCTACCCTACGGGGGAACAAAGACCAGAGGCAGATGCTGAAAGAGCAGCCACCCCAGCCCCATTGAGTAGACACACCACGCTGTGAAAGGTACAGCCAGTATCTGACGGATCCTCTGATCCACTCTGAGGCTGGCAAGTCTCATTTTAAGTTACCAGCAGCTTCCACTCTCAGAGCAGAGACCTGAGTTTGCCTTTGGGGAAGCCCCCTTCTCAGTCCCACAAGAGACAGCTGGCTAAAGGTGAGGATCGTGGGGTGTATATACCCAAGGTTCTAGAAGATCTGAATGCAGTGGTGCGGCCCTAATACTTCGAAGGTGGTATGAGCGTCTTATAGTAACGTACAGTGTGAGCATCTCACAGCAGAACCGTGTTCTAGCAGGTCATGTGGGATCCAGGTCTGGGCTGCTATGCCTGACTAGGATTGCGTGTTTGGGGAAGGAGGGGTTTCTCATTCAAGCCTCAGCTCCCAGGAACTGGAATCAGACTTCAATTGCTGAAAGAATCGGACTGGCTCCCCAAGCCCCACCCAAGATTACTGTATTGAGGGTCTGAGGCCAAACCACCCCTGTGAGTAGGGAGAGCAATTCCCCTGCTCTTTCCCCCTACTGCCCCCAAAACAGGACCATCAGTCCAGCCTGGAAGGGTTAACCATGGGGAAGAGACCAGGGCTCAGAGGAGGAGGGAAGTGGTTCCCCTGCATCTGGGCCTCATGCCCCTGAGCCCGGTCCCCAGGGCAGTGAGACTTGCTGGGGGTGGTAGGCAGGCCCAGCGCCTCCTCTCTACCGGGGCAACGTGAGCTGGAGGCCTGAGAGAGCAGCCCAGGAGCTGACCGCTGGTGTAGGCTCCCTGGATTGTCTTCCCTCCAAGTCCCGGCCCCAAGCTTGCACAGCCTGGGGTCTGGCATCAGCCGTGCTCTGGGAAGGGACTGTGCCCAGGCTCGAGGCAGCAGAGCAGGCTAGACACTGTGCCTAATCAGGAGGGGCCTTGTCCGTGTCAAGACAAGGGAACTGACGGACCTAAAGGCGCTCCAGAAAAATCTCCTCCAAGTGAGAAAACAAACACACAACAGCAAACTCAGGGGTCTGGAGAGTGAGGGTGGTGGCTGGGTTCGGCACTCGCTCCCACCTGCAGGGGCACAGGCCTGCCTGGGTCCTTGTCTCTGGATTGTCTCATCACCGGGGGGGCTGACGTCAGGGTCCGTCTCAGGTTGGCATTGGCCACAGTCTTCTCACTGGAGTCCTGGGGCTGCTCTGAGCTCCTGTGGGCCCACGTCAGCCGCAAGCAGGATTTGCTGGGACAGTGCATCTGGCCCAGGAAGTCGTCCGCTGCTCGCACCTGTGCCACAGAGTGAGCAGCCTGAGGCACTGCAGTGTCCCAAAGGCAAGTGCAGAGTGCCTGGCCCCACGCTGCCACCACATGGCTCTCCAGGGGCCCCAGGGCTGGCTTCCCTGAAATGCAGGACCCATAAAGGCCTTGAAACAGAGCTTATAACCCTGAGTGCCCCCAGGCAAGAGACTGTTCCCATGAGGAACTCAGTCCCCCCGTCTGTAAAATGGACAGTGGTTTCCAAATGTTTTTGAGGTTGTTTTTAATCTTAAGGGAAATTCCAAAGTGTAAGATTGATAGAAAGCTGAGCTGCTCTGGGAGAGGCCCCTGCAATAGCCTCCTAGCCTCTCCCCTCAACACATTTGGAAAACTACTGGATGAGGTGGCCTTTAAGGCCCCTTCCAGCTTTGATCTGCAAAGATACAGTAATGCAGAGACTGTATGGGTTTCCTGGTGCCCACGCGAGCTCAGTGAGCCTGGAGTGGTAACATGTAACAGAAATGGGTGAGGTGTGAGCCACCTTAAGGACAGGGTAATCTACCCAAGAGAACAAGACAAGCACACCAGGCATGGAGTCAGACTGCCTGGGTTTGGATCTATCACTCCTTGGTTTTGTGACCTCAGGCAAGATGCTTAACCTCTCTGTCCCTCAGTTTCCTCACCCGTCAACTGAGAATTATAGAAACTACCACCTACCTACGTAGCTCCCAATCTCCTCCAGAACAAGTCCCCCCAGTCCCCTCTCCTTCCCGGGGTGCTCCCTACCCCCAGGCCCACAGCCGAGAGAAAGGAGAGAGGAGGGGTGTTCCTGTTGACCATACCCTCTTGGGCGTCAAGGGCAAGGGGCTCTCAGAAGCATTGAAATTGAAGATGGGCCTGAACATGCTGACATTCCAGAAGAGGATGTCCCCGTTGTAGGAGGAGGTCCCGAGGAACTGGTTCTGGTACTTGGCCATGCTCAGGACGTCCTCCTTGTGGAAGGTCTGCCAGTGGTAGGACAAGAGCACTGGCTTGGCCTTGTGGAACCTGCACACATGCCAGAGGCAGGAGAGCTGAGAGAGCAGCCTTAGTGCTCCCCCGGGGAACACCGAGGCCTTTAGGATTCTGGGAGCCGACTCAGAGGAGGACGCTCAGGCGTCGGAGCAGGCTGAAGCCCTGCCCCACCGACCTCATTTACTAAGCACCCACTGTGTGCCTCCTATAAAGGCCCTGTCCTGGGGCTTTACAGAAACTAATCTTACAGATTCACCCCATTTAGACACTCGAGCAAGGACTCAGGTTTAAAGAAGGGGAGACCACGGCCCTGGAAAGGCCCTTTGGAGAGGAAGGGGCCTTGCACATGCTGTTCCCCTGCCTGGAATGTTCCTCTGTCCCAAGCCCTCGCTGCTTCACTGAGACCTCTCCTGCTCATTCTTCAGATCCCACTCCACCCACGACATCCTCAGAGGAGCCTTTTCTGACCACCTAAGGCGGAATCAGATTGCCGTCCCCTCCCCGTAGAAACTCAGCAGACTTTATCAATAGAAATGAAGTTATTTGATTAGTCTCTGCCTCTGACTAGAAGCCCCAGGAAGACGGAGACTCCATCCTTCTTGTTTATACCCAACCCCAGCACCTAGCACAAAGTCTACAACATATCAGCCTCAAGAAGTGATGAAGAAATCCATCAGTAGATGAAGCATTGGACATTACCCATCACTCATTTCCTGCCTGGAGTTTCAACCAGCAGCAACGCCAGGAGTGAGGAGCCCGTTGGAAGTAGAGAGAATGGTCAGCTGCCCTTATCCACCCACACGCACCTTGCTACTCACCTGAAACAAGTGATTCTCTTACTCCACCCAGTCACGTAGAACACATTGTTCATATGGACAATCCCACTAATCTGTTGAAGATGAAAGAAAGAATGCTAAGGCACCTCAGAGAAAACGGCCCGGGCCCTGAACGTCTTCCTAGCGGTATCAAGCAAGAAGTCCAGACTCTCCATGATGACAAGAATCCCCCAGAGGCGGTGCCACCATCTATTTCTCAGAGTGCTCTCACATCCCATCATCTCACTTGATGGACTTGGAGGAGGCAGACAGCATAGGCATCCATGTGCATTATTTAGGGGGATAACTGGGAAACAGACAAGTGACTTGGCTCAGGTAAGTAACTGAGCGATAGGATCTGGACCAAACCCCTGGCTGCTTGGCCAAGTGCTCCTTCTGAGCTGGTTAAAGGGCTGTGTCACAGGCGTTAGTAATGGGCTCAAGTTCCAAAGAGGGACTGCTGGCTTTGCTCCATGCCACACCCACAGACTATCCCTAGAACCCTGGCAGGCATTTCCCAAGGAGGGGTGAGCGTGGGTGCCTCTGAACCCGACCCCAGCTAGAAACGCAATCCAGAGCCCTCAGCCGTGGGCTAAGAAGAAAGGAAGGAGGAGCCGACACTTGTAGACAGGTACTAAGCACAGGCCCTGTCACCTATCATCATTTTATAGGTGAGGACACAAAGGTTCAGGGAGGCACAAAGCCAGGCTGTCTATGCACAGCCATTCAGGGTGGCACAAAAAATACTATGTCCCCGGGTTATGGGAGCTGTGCTGTGCTTCTCAAGAGGCGCCCCCGGCCCCGGCTGACCGCCCGGACTGACCTCCAGCTGATCCTGGGAGGGGAAGGTCAGCAGGCATTCGCCGATGCTGTGGTTCCACATCTTCACGGTGCCGTCCTGCAAACCTGTGAGCAGGCAGCGCTCCGACTCATCCAGGGACATGGCAGTCAGCTCCACGTCCTCGTCACCGGTCACAGAGAACTCCAGCATCCTCCTGCCCGTCACCATCTCCCACACGCTCACTATGCCACTCAGGCAGCCACTCACCACCTGCAGGGGAGCACACGGCTGGGGCTCCTGGCGAGGAGAGCGCCCCCACTCCCAGGGGCGGCCTCTACACGTCGGGCTGGCTTTAGACTGAGAAGACAGTCATTCAGGGCCCCTGCTGCAGGAGAAGCCCCTCTTGAAACAGGCCTTCCTCTGCTCTGTAGCACAGGGCAGAGCAAACTGGCACAGCTCTTTTAGAAGACACCAATTTAGTGAAATCCCCTTTAACTTAGAAATGGCATCTATCAGAATCTATCCAGAGAAAATAACCTCTAACTTGGAGAAGACATTTACTGAAGCATCATTAATCATAGGAAAAACAAAAAACGGGAAACGCTAACTGCCCCCTAAGTAGGAAAACGCTGAGAGTAAAGGATGGTCACCGGACTTGATGCAACATCTACTGCCACCACAACCGGAACAAGGCAACAGCAGCAGGCGAGGCTGTTTCAGAAGACCCCTCCTGCTGAGAACATCCAGGAAAGCTGGGGGAGGGATGTTTTTGCAAGCTGGTTGAAGGCACTGAAGAGCCCTAAGGTATGCAGGATGGTGGTGCCGGAGCCAGGATGGGAGGGAAGCCCAGAGAGGTGAGCTCTGGCCCCGTGTGGCCAAGGGTAAGGCAGCCTGCCCTGCCTGGAGCGCAGGCCAGAAAAGAGGTCACCAGGGGAGTGGGCAGAGGGCCCAGGAGCCCTTTCTGTTCCTACACTTGAGAAACCATGTGCTCAGCTGCCCTGCCTGACCCAGAGATCTCTACTCAGGACCAGGGTGCTGTCTGTGGCCTGGGCCTCCCTCCCTTCCCACAGTGGACAAAGCCGAACGAGGGCTTCCCGGGAAAACGGCACCCAGGAACAGCACCCACCCTGAGAGCCTTGCAGAGCAGTCACACCCAGTGTGCCATCTTACCCTCCGTGTAAGCAAGGTGGCTCCTCCAGAACAGACCCGAGGCAGTGGCCAGGGGCACACAGGCCTGGAGGAATTAGGATCCGCTGACCAAGCAGTGGGGCTCCGACATCCTCTTGGGCCGGCCCCTCTGCAGGGCTGCCTCTCGTCCGCACCCTGCCGCCCACACCACCATCAAATCCCCACCGCCTGTCCTGACCACTCCGTGGACAGGATCTGGACCCAGCGGGAGGCTGCGGTGCCACCCGTGTCACCGGCACTCCCGCCAGCCTAAGAGGCAGCTCGGGCCCACTCACCTGCTTAAAGAGCTTGCTGTAGAGGACGTTGCACAGCGGGGTGCTGTGGGTCGTGATCTTCTCCCCGGCCTTCCCAGGCCCCTGGGTCTCTAAGTACCCTTTCAGGATCCCAATCTGCAGGGGTGGGGAGAGGGGCAGCAGCTGGGCAGGTAGAGGGCTCTGCCCTCAGTGACTGGCCCCCGGGAGAAACTCCCAACAAACGGACACCCAGACATCCTGACTGCACGCAGGCCTGGGCCCAGCAAGGCCCCACGGCTCTCAGCATGCCTGCTGATATGTACCTCTCACCTCTACTCCACAGGCCCAACTCTCAGAGAGTGGGGCTCCCAAACCCTAGTGTTCCTAGAACCCCAAAGTCCAAGTCCAAATTCCCTCCTATAACTTCTGAGAAGCATAAAGCCTCAATCTGATATCCCCTCCTCCAGGAAGCCTTCCCTGACTACCCTGCCCCAGGCTAGGCTAAGGATCCTATCTCTGTGTTCCATGAAGTCCCTAGCACACATCTCCATCATAACACACAGCATTTTCTGCTAAAATTATCTGTTCTCCTTCTATCAGCTGAGTTCCTCGAGAGATGGGACAGTGTCTAATTAATATACTCTCTGCTTCTGACAAAGAGCAGGGGGTTGACGTTTGATGACTTGAAATGAACTTCAAAGGTCCATTTAATTCAACAAATGCCGGCAGCCAGCCCAGCACTCAGCAGAGATGAAGGAATCCACAACCTCCCTTCTCAAGAAACCTGCCGTCTGGGGGACAGACAGCCAAGGGCACAAGGATGACGTATGTGTCCCCTGACAGGGTGGCCTGGCCAACGGAGGGGACAAGGCCTTAGTGGGGCTACCCCTTCCTCTCAAACACAAATGACCCCCTCGTCCCCTTTCTAGACAGAACCTCCCCATCTTCTGGCAGCCCCCTGAGCTCCCATCTCGTCACAGGCCCCACCGTCACCCGGGACAGCCTGCCCCTGTGCTTCTCCCACTCTGTCCTGTCCTCTGGGACACATGGGCACCAGCGAGGTCACAGCACCCAGACGGTCTCCACACCTCATCTCTCCAGGTTCTCCTTCAGAGGGGCTGGTCGGGCCTGGGCCCTGCTTCCTGGAGCTCACGATTTGGCAGGAAAGAGAGTCATGTAGCCGCGAGAGGACACAGTTACAAAGGCCGCGATGGAAAGGAAGCACAGGGCCACTGGAGCTCAGAGGGGGCCACCTAACCCAGCCTGGGGGTCAGCGTGGGCTTCCAGGAGGAGAATCTAGGGCATGGACAGGGCGGGAAAGAGCAGAGAGAGCAGCAGCACAGAGGGTGACAGGCTGGGTGCCTACAAACGGTCTTCCAGGAAATCACAAGAGATGGGAGCCTCGGGCCAGGCCACAGGGTCTAGGAGTTTTGTCCTCATGTCATGAAGAGTAGACTTGGGAGGGACAGGATGCAACCAGCCCTCGAGCGCCCTCTGGGACGTCAGGCCCCAGCCACGGGGCCACCCTGTGTGCGCAGCCATGACCCGCCTCCTGCGCAGACTCACCGAATAGGTGCTGCAGATGAGGGTGTTGTCGTTCTTGTGGAAGTAGGCGCTGGTGATGGGGCAGTTTCCCAGGGCAAAAAGCTTCCCGCAGAAGGACTGGAGGCATATGTAGTCCTGCATGTCCCACACGCGGATATTCTGGGCGTGGGACACAGGCAGAGAGGCCGAGAGTGGATCCTTGGGGATGCGGCCAGCACCTGAGGCCTCGGGGAGCTCCCGGGAGCAGGACCAGGGGTACACAGTGCAGGCACTTCCAACACACCCCCACTGCACTGTGTCTGCCACAATCACAGCTCTACGACAGGGACGCTGCCTTAGGCTCAGGTGAGGAAACCGAGGCACAGTTCCACCCCAGCCTTCCCCCAGGGCCTCTCCCCTACTTGAGCAGCTGCGCTCAGTGGCCAAGGATGAAGACCAAGCAAGCCCGCATGCACCCCTGCAGACCCTCCCCGGCTCCCGCTCCCGCTTCCCTCCAGTAAAGCCAGGCAGGACACAGTGTGGCTACCAACATCACTGCCAAAAAGGCCCGCCTGTCCCCAGAGTAGCCCCCTGGAGTTCATCCCGAGTTGAAGAACTGTCCCTAGAGAGGCCCCATCTCCATGCTCCTCACTGCTCAGAGGCATCGGCAGGGAGCTGGACAGGGCACAGACTCGGGGTCGACCAGAATCGAGTCTGCAGCCCAGCTCCGCCTAGCATTGACCGGGAAGATTTTAGCAAGTCTGTGCCTGTCCCCCGACCCCTCCAGCCTCAACTCCCTCATCAGAGGGGAGGATGCCCGGCTCCCAGGGCTGCCAGGGGAATTCGAGACAATGGGAAGTGTGAGGATGCGGTGGGAGGGTGGCCTGGGTAACCCAAGGGCCCTGCCAACTCTCCATCTACGGAGCCCCGGAAGACACCAACTTGTCCCCTGACGGAGGGCCTTGGAGCTGCTGGCCTGCATCCCCACACCGGCCAAAACGCCCGAGCAGCCCAGCAAAGGGGGCAGTACCTGAACCAATAGCTGCAGAAGAGCAACGCAACGGGGCCTGAGCAGGGGAGCCTCGGGCACTGAGAAGGGGCCACTGGGAGGGCCGAGAGGGGCAAGTCTGTGTGTGTGTGGGGGGAGGGAGGGAAGGGCTCACAGGGACTGTGCACCGACTGTGAGCCAGGCACATGCTGCTCTTTGCCACCAGCTCTCCTCCAAACCACGCAACGACCCACTCCAGGGATGAGACTGAGCCAGGCACACGCTGCTCTTTGCCACCAGCTCTCCTCCAAACCACGCAACAACCCATTCCAGGGATGAGACTGAGGCTCAGAAAAGGGAAGGGCCCTGCCCAGAACCACAATGGACAAAGCCAGGCTGGGCTACATGGGAACCCAGCTCTGGTGGGCTGCTCAAGGCTGGGCTCAGGCCTCTACCGGGGGCTGTTGGAGACCCAGGGCCCCCTCATGGTGGTTCCACCTAGGGCACTTCCCTCTGGGCCTTAGGCCAGGAGCGGGACCAGGGACAGGGAGGCCACACCATTTCCCCAGGCCTCAGGCTCCTGCCAACTGCTGGCCACATGGCTGGCCAAGGTAGATCATTAGCCCTGGGCCAGCATCTTTCCGGGGACGCTGTGGGGGGCATAAGGGCCATGCTCCACAAGGGGGGCACCTTGTCCTTGGAGACACTGAGGAGGATGCTGCTGTTCTGGCTGTTCACAAGGATGTGTGTCACTGAGGTCTGATGCCCCTTCATCAGCCACACAGGCTTTTTCGAAAAGAAGGGGTTCCACAGGCGGATGAGAGGATCATAGCCACCGGTCACTGGGGTCAAAAATGGGTATCAGCCACGGGGGGGCCTACCCTTCTCCTGGGGCCAGACCTCAGACCCCAGCCAGGCTTGGCAGATGGGGGGGCATCGCTGTGACCCCTCCCCCTCCCCCTCCTGCACCACCCCCTCCAACACGCCACGCAGAGCCCGTGTCACCACATCACACCCGCGCCCATGAGTGGGACCGGAGAGGTAGGAGAGGAGGCCGGACACCGCACGGCCTCCTCCTCAGCTCTGATGGTCCCCGAGCCCCTAGCGGCCCTCACCTCAGCCCCGCCAGGCCAGCCGCTGCTGCGTGACATGGAGATTACTTACCCAGGAAGTTCTTGTCTGGGCAGTAATCGAAGCAAAGAATTCCTCTTCTCAAGTTCAGCACTGAAAACCTACAACAGCAAAGAGGGAAGGCCGAGGGCTGGGAGCAGTGGCCTCAGGGAGTCTCTGGGCCTGGGGAGGGAAGGAGCTGGAGGCAGGGGCCTGGGAGGAGCAGCCCCAGAAATCCTGACCAGGCTCACCCTGCCGCCACGCCAGGGCCCAGCACCGCAGGCAGAGTGGCAGCCGCGGGTCTCGGCCCAAAGCCAGCAGCTCGAGGAGAAGGCACCCACCTCTCGCCTGTAGGGGAAAGCAGCCCCCAAAACAGGAGCCGCTCCCCACAGGTGTAACACATTGGCCTCATTCCAAGGGCAAACTTAACTTGATCTGCACCTCACCTACACCGGAACAGGTGTCCCCAACCCATGACACAAATCAAAAAAAGGGGAGGGCGTTCCAAGGGCCAGGGGCAAGGGCAGAAAGCTCCTGGGTGCCCCTGCTCCGGGCTGGCCCCATGCTGGGTGCTGCTCCTGTGTCACCTGGACCCCTCCCACAACCCTGAAGAGTGTCATCAGCCCTGTGCCACGATGAGGACACAGAAAGGAGAAGTTAAGGAGCTTGCCCAAGGTCACATGGCTGGCAAGATGGGGGTCAGGATTCAGACCCAGGGTGGGCATGACAGGAAGAGGCAGAAGGCTCAGCAACTGGTGCTCCAGGAAAGGAAGAGGTGAGGCTGGGAGGGCCAGGGTGATTCTGGGAAGCCAGCAGCCCTCACAGGTCCAAGGGCCCTGGAAGCTCTGTGCCTTTGCACATGCTGTTCCCTCTTATCCACACATCCTGTCCTGCCAGCTCCTTCTGCTCAAACTCTCTTCAGAACTCCACTCAAAGGCCCCAGCTGTAGGGACTCCAGCCCTCTAATGCAGCATGCCCCACTGAACCTGCCCCTGCACTGGCTCCTCTGCCACTCCCGCGGCCTGAGCCCGTTGCCTGGGCATCATCCTGGAGGCTCCCTCTCCCGCACTTTCAGCATCCAGCTGGGCCCCAAGTCCCTTGCCCACATCCCACCACAGCGCTGACCTCTGCTTAGGACAGACCCCTTCATCTGTGTCAGCCTCCCAGGGGTCTCTCAACCTCCAGTCTTGATCCCTCTCCAGTCTGCTCTCCCCTCCACAGCCAGAAGGATCCCTCTAAAAACCAAACTTCAGGAAGAACATATCGAATACATGTATTTCATTTATTGTCCAACCAGATACATCTCCCTCCATGCGTACGAGTGCAGAGAAATATTTTGGAAGAATGGACACAAAAGCATTACAAGAAATTATTTCGGGCTGGCTGACTCATTCATTTGACAAACATTTACTGGCTCCTACGCCCTTCCAGGATGGCCAGAGGCGTAGATATGATGCCCCTGCCTTCACAGAGCTTTCCTTCAGGAGGGAAGCAGCACGAGCAAGTAAAGGAACAGAGAGACAGGGAGATGGACCTTTACAATCACGGCCAATCCTGCAGGGAATAAACAGGCGGCTTTGACAGGACAGCTGAAGGAGACCAGGTCTGCAGATGACTGCTGTGCAGGGAAGGGACTGGAAGGTCAGAGAGGACACAGCAAAGGCCATGGCAAGCAGTCCAGGTGGGAGATGATGGTGGCTTTACCTAGGTGGTGGTGGCAGACGTGAGAGAAGGGGGAAAGCAGGGGAGATGCAGTGGGTCACTCCATTCCTCCCCAGTTCCTCCATCAGAGTCACTGTTGGCTCCAACCACCTGAGGAACTCATCTCAGGCTGGCTTCCAGGAAGCCAGACGCTGAGGCCCACACTGCCTTGGAGGCAGAGTTTGGGGTGGCAATGCCAGACCCCACTTGCAGAGGCCACGTCCCAAGGTCATTGCCAGGAACAGGAGACCAGCAAGCAGTCAATGGTGCCACCTGCTGGCCAATGTGTGTACTGCATTCAGGCAAGAAGAAAGGGTGCAGTGCGCCATACAGCCAACCTGCCCCCAGACTGTATATCAGGTCCCCCCATCTCCACTCCACTGGCCGGCTCCAGGCCACCATCATACGTAGCCTGAGTTATTACAATGGCATCCACACTGGTGTCCCCGTCGCCACTCCTGTCCATGTACACTCTACTTGCAACAGAGCAGCCAGAGGGGTGCTCCCACACATCAGACCGCACAGTTGCTCTGCTCAAAATCATCTTAGAATCTTGTTTATATCCTATTTCAAATATTGTAAAAAGACATTTTGAGACATTTGGGGGAAGATTAACTTGGACTAGGTACTAGAGATATTAAATCATTATACTATTTTCTCTACTTTTGTGTCTGAAATTTTTCATAATAAAAATGTTTAAAACACAAAAACGAAAAAAAAACAAGAGCACATGAGACAAAGAAGAGCAATGCAAAGGCCCTGGGGCAGGAGCATGCCTGAGTCACAAGGGGGCCAGCGTGGCTGAAGTGGGAAGGGGGAAGAGGTGAGATGAGGAAGGCAGCAAGCCAGACCACAGAGGCCCCACGAACATGGTGAGGTGATCCCCCTGATGCCCTCCTGCCACTGACACCCCATAAAGCAAGAAGCTGAATGAAACACATCGCAGACGTGAGGTCCTACTACCACCAAAGCAGAGAGGCGAACCTCAGCAAACCAGCTCCAAGCAAGATCCTGAACCCTGTCCCACTCACAGCACTGAAGACAAGGCCGAAATTTGCCCACTGCCGCGGACATTCTCCAAGGCGCCGCCTCCACCCTGCAGTGAGTTCCTGGACTTGGACGGCAATGTGCAGAGTCCTCTTTGGTTAACAAGACACTGGACGTACAATGAGGCCTGGGACACAACCCCAGGTCAAACGTCTGCTCCAAGACAGGCACCTCCCCTCCCTAAGCCACAAGTTTCCCATCTGTAAGCTGAGGGGTTGCACTAAACTAGCCCTACCATTCCAGGTGTGAGCTTCCCTCTGGAAAACAACTGGGACAGAAAAGGACAGACGGAGATGGGGCCTGAATGGCTCTCAGTCTCCTCAATGTGCCTCACCCAGTTGCTCCCCCAGCATGGGTCTCAAATCTCCTGCTCTTCCCCCAAGACGTGCCTGAGGCTGCAGCTCATGATTCGGCTGCTCAGAGCAAAATGTCACAGACCCAAAGGCTCCCGAGGGTAAAGACCTGAACAGGAGGAAGATGCAGAGGAGGGAAGGAATCCTTAGGAGGAAAGACATACCGTGAAAGGCATAGTGACAGGTCCCCCTGACCAGATGAAGCAGGGCCTTCGGTAACAGAGTGAGCCAGTGGGGACTGGATAAGGGCAGGGGGGCCACAGGACTCCAATTATATTTATAACATTTTAATTTGTTACAGGGATAATGTATGCATATTTCCTCGTGTGACTAATAAGAAAAAAGAAAGAAAAGGAAAAAATTCACTCCAGGGTAGAGGACTCGAGAATGAAGGAAATAGATGAGAAGTGTCTCCACAGAACAAATGCCCCCATTACTGAACACAAGCCATGTACACATTCACTCGCATAACCCTTGAGGGAGTGACCAGAGTGCGTTCTCACGCCCTTTGACAGAGGAAGAAACTGAGGCTCACAGAGGGGAAGTGACTTGCATTCATTCCTTCATTCAGGAAACGCTTTTTTTTTTTTTCTAAAGATTGGCACCTAACAACTGTTGCCAATCTTTTTTTTTTTTTTTCTGCTTTTTCTCCCCAAATGCCTTCAGTACATAGTTGTATATTTTAGTTGTGGGTCCTTCTAGTTGTGGCATGTGGGATGCCACCTCAGCGTGGCTTGATGAGCAGTGCCATGTCCGTGCCCAGGATCCAAACCAGCAAAACTCTGGGCCACCGAAGTGGAGCGTGTGAACTCAACCACTCGGCCACGGGGCTGGCCCCAGGAAACACTTTTTGACTGCCTACTTTCACTACGTCCCAGCTTCTATGCTGAGTTTTGCAGATAAATTGGCGGGCGAAAGAGGCCTATGATATTTTTGCCACTGGTGGCAATGCCAGAATGATGGTTAAAACCAACTCCAGAGGCCACCTTCTAACCAGCACACCCACCGTGGGCCCGGAGGACACGCGTGCTTCCTCAGACCAGGCATGATCCGCAGGACTCTGCCGTGCGCACAGGACATGCCACCGTCCTGGGGGTGGCCACTCTCAGCAGGAATGAAGCCAGCTCCCTGGAGGCACTGTCACCACCCGCCCCCGCCCAGCCCCACCACCCCAGCCTGGAGAGACGTGCGCTTACTTGGGATTCTCGGGGGCTTTGGATGGCAATATCGTCAGCACCAGAGAGGACTTCTCAATGGCTGAACAGGAGGCCACCAGGTTCAGCTGGGGGATGAACTTGACCTGTTGGCACCAGTTGGGATGCAGAGCCTGGGAAGAGAGCAGCGGTGGTGGGAGACCCAACCCACGGACAGCCTCCAGGCCTGTTCCCCAGAACACAGCAAGTGCTGGGGGCCGACCGGGCCCGGAGATCGCCGAGCCCAACGCCCTTCTGCCGACTACAGCTCTGACGAAGTGATCTGACCCTGCAGTCCTACACCAGGTCCTGCGACCAGGGGGGTGTGGCCATCGCTTCTCAGTGAAAGGGCTTAAAAGTACTTAAGGCTGCTGCTCGTGAAATCTTGCTTATAAGCTGGAGGACAGGCAAGGTCAGGCCCAGACCAGTACTGTCTGTCAGCCCACCCAGGGGAAGGACAGACGAACTGCAGCCTGCCTAGTCCACAGTCTCTGCATCCACGGGCCAGCACAGAGCGGCCAGCGCCCCCAGCCCCACCGCTCCCTCCATGTTAGTCCACAGTCTCTGCATGCACGGGCCAGCACAGAGCGGCCAGCGCCCCCAGCCCCACCGCTCCCTCCATGTTAGTCCACAGTCTCTGCATGCACGGGCCAGCACAGAGCGGCCAGCGCCCCCAGCCCCACCGCTCCCTCCATGTTAGTCCACAGTCTCTGCATCCACGGGCCAGCACAGAGCGGCCAGCGCCCCCAGCCCCACCGCTCCCTCCATGTTAGTCCACAGTCTCTGCATCCACGGGCCAGCACAGAGCGGCCAGTGCCCCCAGCCCCACCGCTCCCTCCATGTTAGTCCACAGTCTCTGCATCCACGGGCCAGCACAGAGCGGCCAGTGCCCCCAGCCCCACCGCTCCCTCCATGTTAGTCCACAGTCTCTGCATCCACGGGCCAGCACAGAGCGGCCAGTGCCCCCAGCCCCACCGCTCCCTCCATGTTAGTCCACAGTCTCTGCATCCACGGGCCAGCACAGAGCGGCCAGTGCCCCCAGCCCCACCGCTCCCTCCATGTTATGTCCACAGTCTCTGCATCCCCGGGCCCAGCACAGAGCGGCCAGTGCCCCCAGCCCCACCGCTCCCTCCATGTTAGTCCACAGTCTCTGCATCCACGGGCCCAGCACAGAGCGGCCAGTGCCCCCAGCCCCACCGCTCCCTCCATGTTAGTCCACAGTCTCTGCATCCACGGCCCAGCACAGAGCGGCCAGCGCCCCCAGCCCCACCGCTCCCTCCATGTTAGTCCACAGTCTCTGCATCCACGGGCCAGCACAGAGCGGCCAGCGCCCCCAGCCCCACCGCTCCCTCCATGTTAGTCCACAGTCTCTGCATCCACGGGCCAGCACAGAGCGGCCAGCGCCCCCAGCCCCACCGCTCCCTCCATGTTTGTCCACAGTCTCTGCATCCACGGGCCCAGCACAGAGCGGCCAGTGCCCCCAGCCCCACCGCTCCCTCCATGTTTGTCCATGTTTGAAGGTGGTCTGCTCCCAGAGCCTGCAGTGCAGGAGAACATTATCTGCTGCAACTTGGGCCACAAAAGGCTGAGACCCACAAGGCAAGGGGCTCTGCACTGGAGCTCCAGCTCTGTGGTCTGGCCCGGGCTCGGCCTCCCAACCCAGAGATCTCCTCTCTGGGACAAGAATGGAGGAGGTGAGGTGGGGGCTGACCAGGCTCTGAGCTGGGTTTCACAGGCACTGTCTCACCCAGAGTCTGTCATCGTGAAGGCAGAATCCAAGGCCCTGCACGGAACCGGGGACACTTAGCAACTCGGAGGGAAAACCAAGGCCAAGATGAGATGCCCACAGAAGGTGGAAAAGAAGGCGGGCTAGGGTGTGACTCTTCCTGAGAGGGTCCCAGGGCCTGAATGATCCAACCTGCTCGAAAAGAAGCATTTATGGGTTTTGGACCACTCAACTTGGACTGCCCTGAGTGTCAGATTCATTCATTCACACATGCGTTCATTTGTTCAACAAATGCACTGGGAGCCCACTTACACCAGGTGCTATTTCAGGCACTGCGACAGAACAGAGAACACCACACACTAAGGGCCTGTCCTCAAGGAGCTGTCAATCTCCTGAAGGTGACAGGATGAGAAACCACTGGAGGGACAATACGAAGTTGGGAGGTGGTAAGCTGTGATATTGTGATTTATAATTAGAAACATATATTTGGTGTCTGTCCCTGTTCCTGGCACAGAGCTCCTAAAACCCTTGGAATGTCCTAAGTGATAAGAGCAATAAAGGTGTCTTGATATTCCTAACAAAGCTCTTTCAACCACACCTGAGTTTATGTTAAGGAGGTGGCCTTTAGAAAGCACCTGAGGATGGGGGCTGGCTGCCAGTGGAGCCAACCACGTGATAGAGGGCTGGAACTTTCCATCCCACTCCCTGAGCTCTGGGGAAGGGGAGAGGGCCTGGAGGTCAAATCCATCTCCATTGGCCAATGATTTAATCAATCATGTCTATGTAATGTAATGAAGCCCCCAAAACCCCAAAAGGACAGGATTCAGAGACCTCCTTGGCTGGTGAACACGTAGAGATTTGGGGAAAGGGGTGCACCCAGAGAGCATGGAAACCCCATGCCCCTTACCACATACATTGCCCTACACATCTCTTCCATCTGCCTGTTCCTAAGCTGTATCTTTTTATAATAAACTGATAATCAAGTAAGTAAAATGTTTCTCTGAGTTCTATGAGCCGCTCTAGCAAATTAATCGAACCCAAAGAAAGCATCGTGGGAACCTCTGATTTACAGCCAGTCGGTCAGAAGCAGAGGGGACAACCTGGACTTGTGATAGCATCTGGAGTGGAGGGCAGCCTTGTGAGAATGAGCCCATGACTGTAGAATCTGATGCTATCTGTGGGTAGACAGCGTCAGAATTGCGTTCAATTGTAGGACACCCAGCTGGGGTCGAAGAATTGCTTGGTGATATGAAAAATAAACACACATTGTCATGGTGTCAGATCCTATAAGTGCTGGAGGGTGAAGGCATATAGGCAGAGGAGGCAGCAGAGCTGTTCCAGGCTGGTTGGTTAGGGATCTAAAGGAAGCAGGGAGACCAGCATATAGGTACATAGGGAAGAGCACGGCAGCCTGAAGGCCCAGCATGTGTCAAGGCCCTGAGGTTGAAAGGGGCTTTGTGTGTTGAGGGAATAGCAAGGCTGCCTGCATCTCTACAGCAGAGGAGAAGATAGGTAGAAAGCAAGACCCAGAACAAGTGAGGGGCCAGATCGCCTCATGTCCTGATGGTCATAGTAAACACTTGAAATTTTGTTCCAAACATGATGAGAAGCTACCGGGGGGGTTTGAGCAAAGGAGTGACATTGATGAGGATTTTAGGCTGGTTACTTTTAAAACTGTAGATGAGAAGCAGGCTCCGAGGACTGGAATTTTGCTTGCCCTTTTGAGAGACATTTGCATTTGTGAAGGAAGGGGGGATGACCTTGTAGGGACCTGAAATTGGCCACCCCAAGATATGTCTCTTTGGCATGGGGATTCTTTTGGGCTGATTGCTTTTGATAAACTGGGACAGGGAAGGAGGCTCTGGGGAATGGAACTTGCCCTTGTTGGGACACATTTACATTTGTAAGGTAAATCTCTATCTGTAAAAGGTGCCTCCCTCTCTGTACCAGGAAGAAGAGAGATGACCTTATCCCTAGAAACTCTTAATGGAGAAGGCAAGAACTTAAGTTGGTTGCTGTCTGGCAATCTCATGTAACTGATTTAGGGTGGTGGCTTCTGACCTTTACTTATTCCGATTTGATTCTTGTCTAAAAGTCATGGGATCACCCAACAACCAGACCCCACCTGCACTGATACCATTTTAACTTTTTTTCATGTTCTTTCCTTTGTCTTGTAAAGAAATGATTCACATACCCATGCCTTATAAAATTAGCCCTAACCCTCAACTCGGGGCAGCAGCAGGAGCTCTGACTGCCCGTGGGTCCTGTCCCCACGCACCAGCTCTGCCTGCCCATGGGTCCTGTCCCCATGCCAGCGGGGGCAGCAGAAGTGGCAGCAGAAGCTCTGACTGCCCATGGGTCCTGTCCCCATGCTATTCTACACTATTCTCTAAATAAAAGAGCACTCCTGCCAGATCTTGAGAGTCTAAGAAATCTTTCTTTCGACTCCTCGGCTCGCCGACCCCACATCAACATGACTGTATTTGTATCTGATCATTCTCCTGACTGCTGGAGAAAGCACACGGGGAAATAGCTGGAAGCCACAGCAGCCATCCAGTTGCAAGGCAAGTTGTGCCGGGACCACGGCCCTTCGGGACACGTACGTCTTCTGCAGAAAGAGCCAACAGGATCCAGCAGCCGCCTTGACCCGGCTCCCAGAGGTCAAGCCTCAAGGCCTAAATCGGAACCCAGGGGACAAATGCACTCCCTGCATGTATTTTGAGTGGCGTGTGGACAGACAGTTACCATGGTAACAGGCTATAGAAAGATACGACTCACCTTCAGTCGGTAACTTCTGTGCAAAGGGGACTTCTCATTTAAGAGCTTCTGCGTGGAAACCTTGATCCCCTGATCTGAGAGGGGGAAAATTGAGGTCCACATCACCAGCTCTCCCCCTTTGCCAGACAAGCAAAGTCTCAGAAGACACTTGAGTTGGTTGGCAACTCCCGAGCGTCTGAAAGGGCTTTTCCATTCAAATGCTCGTTCAAGCCTCACTGTGTCCTGGTGAGTTCAGTGGAGTGAACTCAACACCCAGAAAACAGACGGGGCAGATGAACACTGCTGCCCAGAGCCCCCCGCCAGCTCATGGCAGAAGTGGAACCACATTCCGGGTCTCTTCCCTCTCCGTAGCTGCTGCGACCTAGACCAGCAGTGCTCCATTAGGGAGACCCAGCTCTGCTGGAGTGGAGAACGAATTGAGACCCTAGGCTCCGTTCATTCTGAAAATACTCATTTGGGAGTTTGCCATCATGCTTCAAACTCCATGCCCCGTCTTCCAGAAACTCACAGTCCAGGAGGGAGAAGTTGCGCATGTGCGTCATAGAGCAAGCGTGCCGGGAGAAAGCAAGCGCTGAGCTCAGCCTCACCTCAGGCCTGGGGGGCTGAGTCTCCTGGCTGCGGAACCGGCCACGGCAGGCAGCTGAGGAGCCCCCAGGGAAAGCACTAGCAGGCCCCTGGTGCCAGCTGGATGGGCGGTGTCAGCAGTGACAGGGGACAAGCATGGGCCTGCCTTCAGAAGGGAGTTAGGGACATAGGTCAGAGGGGCGGGGCAGTCTGGGCTCTAGTCTGAGAGAAACTCCCAGGCAAAATGGAGACAAGAGAGGAGCCCATCTGGGGACTTATGTCAAGCGCACGAGTGCTGCAGGTCACCTCCCCATCTTGCAAGAGCAGGAGGAAGCTTGAGAAGGAAGTCCCAAGGGGGTGGAGTGTTGCTCAAGGTCACTAAAGTAGGGGGAGCTCTGCACGGGCACAGGCTGGAGGAAGCTTAGTTCCTCTGCTCTGCGAGCCTGCTGGCCTGCCTGCCGCTCCCACTGGACCAGGAGGCCCAGGAGGGCAGGGGAGACAGTCACCAGCACTTACTGTGTGCTTCACACTGCACTCTCTCCTTGTACCTTACAGTGAAACTGTGAATTGATTACGCTCATCCCTATTTGAATCAGGAAACTGAGGCACAGAGAGGTTAAGCAACTGGCTCCAGGTCACAGAGCTGGTCTGTCCAACTCCTGCCAAGTTAATACACTGCTGGGCCCACCTTGTCTTTATGTGGCTTGGAAGGACTCCCAACCAACATTCCAGCTTCATCGGCCGCCGCTCTGATTTCCCATCCAACACTCAGCTCAAAGACCACCACAACCACCCACGCCAATTCCCAGGGTGGTGCAGAGAGACCAGGGTGCCGAGTCAGGGCAGAGCAGGCAGCAGGGGCAGAGGCTGATGAGGCAAGGACAAAGCAGGGAGCCAGCCCCTGCTGCATCCAGGGCAGAATGTGTTTCTGTGCAGCCAGTGGGGGATGCTGCCCCAAAAAGCTTGGCAGGAGGTGTCAGCAAGGCCCAGGAGCCCCTGGAAAGTATCCTGCTCAGAAACCCTGACTGGAAGCCCAAGGAGCCATTCTGGTGTCCTGGATGGAGGGGGAGGCAGTGTCCCTGTGGACTGGGGCCCCCAGTGGCCTGGGCCTCCTCAGGATGGATGTGGAGCAGCCTGGAGGCCAGACACTGTGCATCAAAGTCTCGATCCTGGACAGGGTCCAGCTCAGATGTGTCCCCAACTGCCGCAGGCCCCAAGGCCTCAGGATCTAGGGCCCCTGGCAGAGAAGCCCCAAACAGCATCCTTCAGCATGTAGTCAGTTTGGGATAGAGCCCAGCAGGTGGTTACAGTGCGGACACTGGGACAGACTGCCCGCCTCAGGCCTCAGCTGCCACTTGCCCACCGTGGGGCCTATGCAAGAGCTTCAGCCCTAACCCTCTGCTCCTCCTCTCCTAACAGACTGTGACAACAGCAGGGGTGCGGGACTGCAGGGGGTGATGCACCCAAAGCACTCAGCACACAAGTGCTCAGCGAATGTCGCTGTGCTTATTCACCTTCGCATGGAGCCAGGCTTTCCTTCAGGCCCCACCAAGCCCACCTCCAGGGCAGCCTCTCCACTCCCCACACCCCAAAGGCAGCACAGCGCCAAGGAGAGCAGAACTCTCCTCACAACCATGGAGGAGGTGAGTGCCGTCATCCTAAGACCCAGAGAGGCTGAGTAACTTCCCCAGGGTCACACAGCTGGCACAGGTTCATCATCCTGGGATGAGGAGGGTCCCGAAGCCCCAGCCCTCAGCCCTCACCTGCACAACCTCCCATCTTCAGAAATTGCCCCTCTTCTCAGCCCCTCCTCGTCTCCTGCTGTCACCCCATCACCCCGTCTGTCTCCCACAGGCCACTCTGAGCTGCGTGTACAAGTGCACGGCTGCCTGAGCTTCTGAAGGAGCCAGGCTTCCCAGCGGCTCTGAGCAGGGAGGCAGGCAGAGGGCAGAGCACCTTGGGGCAGGCCTTCTCCACCCGTTCCCCAGCGTCTTAGCTACCCCATTTGGAGGCCTTGGGGAAGATCTGGGGGTTGAACAGCCCGTTGGTCACATTGTCGGAGGTGAAGACGAAGACGTTCCCTTTGGTGTCCCCATAGCAGAACACACCTCTGCTATAGTCAGACCTGCAGAAAGATGGAGACAGAGACTGTGGAGCCGGCTGGGGCACCCAGCTGCAGTCCTGCACCCCGTCCCTGGCCTCCAGGGGCCTTCCTCCACCCAGGAGCGAGCGTAGTTCCCACATGACTGTCCAGCCTTGCCCTCAAGAGCTGACAAACATGGGACCAGCCGCCCAGATCCAAACCGTGGAGAACCAGGTCCGAAAGAAATCAGTATGTAAAACCAAAATAAATGAAACCCTGGTCCTCCAGCTGCTCTTTGTCAAGTCATCCCTACTGATGGACCATGACGTTCCCAGAGTCCTCAGCCACAGCGGGACAAGCCTCTGCCAGGGTTTGATGGCTGAGGTGGTGGGGGAGGGAGAGGAAGGGGAGCCGACGACGACTCTGAGGTCTGAGTGACCGTGAAAGGGGACCCCAAGAGAGAAGCAGCTTGCGGGGAGGAGAGCACAGGCACACAGGGTGGGAATCTTTCCAGGGCTGTTTCCAGAGAGGCTTTCTGGGGGTCCCAAACCCCCCAAGTGATGTGGCTGCTGTCAAGACCCCACAGCAGTCTCCCACGAGACTCACCAGTAGTCCATGACCAGGACACAGCTGTCCAGATCGATGAAGGTGAAGGCCGGGACACAGCTATGGTTACTGATATCAAAGAACTCTGCGGAAAAGACACAGGGAGGCACGCATGGAACCCACACCCACATCCCCGCCTCAGGGGTCTCTGGTGAGGACCAGCAGCCCCACTGCTCACTGCCCCGTGGTGTTCCTAGAGGGTTCTGATCCAGACTCCTGGTTGGCTCACGGACAGATCTCTCCAAGCGCAAATGCGTGGCTCCCCACAGCCAAGAGCAGGCCTGGGGAGCCGCCAGGGACTCACCTATCCTCTGGTCAGTGGACGCAACGGCAACCAGGTTCATGTTGTGGAGACACACCATGTCGATGACCCACATACGCTGGCTGTGGAGCTGCTGGATCTTGTTAAGCTGGCCGGACGAAGAGCAGAGGGGACCCGGGCTAGGGAGGCTTGCCAGGAGAACACACCAGGAGCACAGGGTCCCCGTGAACTCTCTCCTGCTGCCCGAGGCCTTGGAGCCAGGAGTAGACCTGGTATGGAGCCCAGCGCTGCCACCAATGACCAATGATGGGGCCTTGGATAAACTCCCTAACCTCCCTGTCTCAGTTTCCACATCTGCAAAATGCGCTTAAAGAACACCCATCGTCACAACCCCTTTTTAGCACTTTGACAAGCTCACCAAAGTTTTAAATATGCATAGCTTGTGAGCTCGGGATCCATTTCCAAGATGCATCCATAGCTGCGTTCGCATGTTTTCACAGGGAAGTATATGCACGGGTGGACACTGCCACATGGCTATGACAGCAATAGGCCAGAGACCACCTGGAAAGGATAGCTTACACAAATCCACACCACAGGACACCACCCAGACATCAAGAACGAGGGAGCTGTGTATGTATCAATAAAGAATCGTTGCCAAGATCTATTATTAAGTGAAAAAGCAAGGTGAAAAGCAGCATTATAACGTGCTACCATTTGTATATTTAAAAAGAAAGGGGGGGGGGGGTACAGGCTAGCCACGGAAGAGTGCCCCAAAACTGGTCACAGCAGTTGCTTCCAGGGAGAGGAATTAGCGTCTGGGAGGGGGAGACTGACTTTCCACTATCTGCCCCTCTGTGTGCCTGAATCTTTTCCCCCCAGTTATTATTGAGACATAATTGACATATAACACTGTATTCATTTTGGTTTTTGTCTGAATCTTTACCATCTGCTGGCGTCACCTGGTCAAAGTGGCTTATTAAGGAGAAATCGTCCTGCCAGATTGTGAGGAATGAAAGATAGAGCATCTAGTGGCTGCTGGCACATGTAGGAGCTCAGCAGGCAGGGGGGCCCTTCTCTGTTCTAGTGCCACCTCGTGTAATGCTTGTGCAGACAGAATGTGAGCTGGCACTCTAGGCAGGGGATGCCACAAGCAAAGCACATCAGCAGAAATGAGCTGCTGTGTCCAGGGAAGAGAGGCGGCCAGCCCGACAGGCTTGGGTTGGGGAGGCTGGGAGGTGAGTTAGGGAAGGATGCTAAGGAACTTGCATTTACTCCCTGAACAATGAGCGGGCTCTGAACTGAAGAAAGCAGAGGGTACGACCTGAAAAAGAAAGGTAGGGGTGTTCGAAGGCAGTTCCTCTAGGCGGAGATTCAGAAGGGATGGCAAAGGCAGGGCCAGGAAGTGGACTGTTCTGTCAGAACTCAGAGCACCAAGAGCAGAGGGGCCTGCGCTAATGGCTGGGGCAGTGACAACAGTGGACCAGGGCCCCCTGAGGCCCCTCTCCTGCCCATGGCTTGGGTCTAACCCACACACAATTGAAGTGACGGCAACGCCCATAGCCCCCATGTTCAGATGAGAAACTGAGAGCCCTAGGGAGTCTCAGCAACTTGCCCAAGGCTGCGCAGCCGCTTAGTGAAGCCCAGGCCCCACCCTAGACTCCGGGCTTTCCATCTGCGTGACTTGGGCATGCAGTGGGTGCTCATAGATGGTGCCTGATGGTTCACTCTTGCCAAAGCAGCCCCTCAAGGAAAGATGCCCAGGTTTGCTGGGCCTTCCAGGGGACCCTTCCTCTGTCCTCAGCCCTTCTGAGGTTTGGCCCTTGAGGGGCACTGAGGTGACCATATGGCAGCCACAACCAGGAGCTCAGGCTGCAATGTGCCCCAACCCCAACAAACACACAGAGAAAAAGAGGGTGGAGTGTGCCAGAAACCCCGGCCTCCGAAACATGGGTGTGCCTGCCCTCGGTCCTGGGCTGCCAAGTGTGTCCCGGGGAGTCACTGGACCTCCACAGCCCTTAGTCTGCAGCCACGTGGGGGAGGGGACTATGCAGAATGCTCCTGCCCCAAGGGAGGATCCCCGAATCAGCCACCAAACACTCTGCAATGACACAGGCTTGTGAAAGCTTTCACGTGCTGGCAGCATTCTCAGTGAGCCTCTCATCTCGGGAGAGCTGTGCCCTCCTCCTTTGCTGGAGGATTCTGAACCGGCCTGGGAACACCAAGCACACTGCGGCTGGTTCTGAGTGTTTTATCACTTAGAGCGCTTGAAAGACAATGACGATGTCAGCTTCTGTTTATCGGGTGCTTGCTGTGTGCCTCGCTCTGCTCCAAGGACGAGACATATATTGCACCATTAAATCCTCCCACCAGCCCTGACAGGGGGCACTGTCACTAACCCCATGTGACAGATGAGGAAACGAGGCACACAGTGCTCTACACTAACTTGTCCAAGGTCACAGAGTTGGAAGGGGTGCAGCCAGGCTCCAGAGCCCATGCTCACAGCCACTATGATTTCCCCTGGTCCAGGAAAGGACTTGAATCAGCCAACCTTGGCAATAGAGTGGGTGTGATGGGGAAAGGAAAGGAGGCTGCTGCCCAGCACAGGAGCTGTGGGGATATTGATGCCATTCACTGAGACAGGGGCACAGGAGAAGTAAGTCTGGTGGCAGGGAGGGCTGTAGTGACATTCTGTTGGGACAAACCGGGTTTGAGGCATCGGTTGGACAGCCTAGTGGAATGGACATCTAGGTGGGATCCTTGCAGAGAGAAACCTGAGGCTCATAGTCCCACAGTGAAGCCAGAACCTGGACCCAGGAGCTATGACTGCAAGTGTGAGCTGCTTAGACCACGAGCCCCAAGAAGGAGCCCGCTCAGGGTGCAGGGTGCAAGGGCAGAGGCTCTCCGACCAGCCCATGTGTGTTCCCCATGTGGGCGCCACTCACCCTAAAGCAGTTGATCAGCACAAAGGACTCGGACCAGGACTGCAGGAACCCGTCCTTGGTGATGGTCAGGAAATACCCGGTCTTCTTGAACCGATGGATTAAAAACTCCACTTTCACAATCTCACTCCCATGATTCCTGTGGAAGGTAATGAGAGAGAAAAGGCCAATAAAAACAGAACAAAGCACAGAGGAAGATGGACAAAGCACAAGAGCAGCTTCGCTCACATGCACGCATGTGTGCGCACATGCACACCACCAAAGAAATCTAGCTGGCTCCGTGAGACGGGGCCACTGCCCCTCCTCTGAGGGGACTTCTATCATTATCTACGGGGACCCAAAGAAAAGGAGACCCAAGCCGATCTGAGATGGGGCTCCAAAAGCAGTAAGCTTCTTCTGTGAAATAGCCAGTCAGCTTCCTCAGGATGGCATGGGTCAGAGGAGACGAGAACAGAGGTCCTTTGCAAACCATCTTTTTTGGGAAAAACGGCCCACAGAAGGTGAGCGGAATGGGGCTTTTGACTGAAAACTGTAAAATAACACTGCTTTCAGCAACTGCTCTAGTGCTCCAGGGTAAGGGGGGGAATGAGGCCCGAGAATGAGATAAAAGTGGACAAGGGGACAGTAAGAAATTAGAGCCCTGAGTACCCAACTCTGCGTCTCCAAGGACACACACTGAGCCCAGCAAACAGCTCCTGGGGCCGACTTGGCCTTGCAGGAAGCAACATACAGCCTTCCCAGTTTCAGCGCCACCTTGCAGTGGCTTCTTTCCTGCCCCAAAGTTGGCTAAGCAGCTATCTGGTTATTAAAGGGCACCGTGATTTTGACTTCCCAACACGTCAGAGCACACACTGTCCCACTTGATGTGCCCACACCTCTGGGTCCCAGCAGGGCAGGTAATGTCACCTCGCCTCACAGGGACCCAGGGGATAACCGTTGGCCTGGAGTTACATCCTGGTTACCAGCAGAGCAGCACTGAACCCAGGCAACTTGATCCCTACTCTAGCCAAAGCCCTTTCCCAGTGATCTGACCGGCAGCTTCAGGACAAGCCAGTCACTGTGCAACGCCACTGCGTCACAATCTCTGTAGAAGAGAGCGGAATCGGGCATCTGGACACTCCTCCCCCTCCTCTCCTCGGCCCAGAGCTCCATCCAGACCATGATGAATGTTCTCAGTCACCCTCTACTCGTCACTTCCAATTCTACCTCCTCTGTCAGGACCAAGAGACAATGAGGAATAGATGTGGCAGATGAGAGCTATGACAAGTGAAGAGGGCCCTAGGGAAATGTCACCTCATGAGGTCTTGCTTCTTCATCTGCACAAGGACAGCACCTCCACCTCCTAGGATTGTGGTGGGACCAAGGAGATGGTGTGCTAGTGAATTCGGCCCAGGCTCGGTAAAGGAGAGCCAGCCTTTAAAAGCAGGTAATTAGGGGCCGACCCGGCAGTGCAGTGGTTAAGTGCGCACGTTCCACTTCTTGGTGGCCCAGGATTCGCTGGTTCGGATCCCGGGTGCAGACATGGCACTGCTTGGCAAAAGCCATGCTGTGGTAGGCATCCCACATATAAAGTAGAGGAAGACGGGTATGGATGTTAGCTCAGGGCTAGTCTTTCTTGGCAAAAAGAGGAGGATTGGCAGTAGTTAGCTCAGGGCTAATCTTCCTCAAAAAAAAAAAAACAGGTAATTAAATACAATGTATCTAGTAGTTTCTCTGCCAAGCTGGAAGTGCTTTCCAGGTTTGCAGGTTGAGAAAATAAATAGGAGAAAACAGGGGCAAGCTTCTTGACAGTTTTGGTTCAGGTCTTTTCAGTACCTTGGGATTCTGAATGTCCCAAGGAAACAGAAAGACCAGTGAAGGCTTGGCTACATCAAGCCAAGTTTTCATGTCAAAATTTATGATTATAAAATCTTTCATCATTCATAGTTATTGGCTATTCCTCAATTAAATCTTGACCAAAATTGTTTTTGAAGTTCCCCTTTTGTGGTTTTCATTAAACCGTCTTCTCTATTAAACTTGAGGCTGCTTGCAGGCACAGCCTGCCTTCTAGTTTGTGGTCTTCCCCGAGGTCTGCTCTGGGTGGTCCCCTGAGGACAGACCCACCCACAGCCCCTCCTAACCAGGCCACAAATGTAGGTTACCACATGTTGTACCAGAAGACTCAGCTCCCAGATGCTGGCCGCCTGCACCTGGCAGTCGGTGCTCCAACCCAAGATGGGCTCCGGGAAGCAAGCCAGTGGCCTACAGGCAGCCCAGCTCAAGAGACCTGGGTCAGGGGGCCGGATCCACTGGGGTGCTCCTCACTCTTGGGGAGTTGAGAGGGGTGGGGGCAAACAGGGCCATGGCACAGAGAGAGGAAAAGGTGAAGCTCCAGAGGGCACAGTGGGGAGGAGCCACAAAGAGGAGAGAGCAGGCAGGGTCAGGCAGAAGTCAAGGCAGGGACAGAGCCACATGCTCCAGGAAAGATGGGGCGGCTGCCCCCAGGGCCCAGTGCAGCTCGAGGAACAGTTCTTGTGATGGCTCTCACTCCCTGTCACCTCAGAGGAAAGCCCTATCCACGCTACGCGAGCCATCTGTGCCTGGGGATGAAACCACCAGACCCACTCGGCACCTGTCCGAGGAAGCAGGAGAGTGTGCACGCTGTGCAGAGGGACTGGGAGGGCAAACAGAGCAAGCCCACCACCTTCACGTGCCCTCTCTGAGCCTCAGTTTCCTTTCTGTGAAGTGGGACCTGTAAAATGGGACACATCAGCTACCTTAATGCTCAAGCCTACCTACAGGGCTGTGAGGCTGAAATGAGCTAAAGAACATCAGGCACTGGGCCAGATGGCAGGCCCCTGGCGGGCCCGAGGGAGTGGCTCAGGGATCTAGGAAGCGGGGCTCACTGCAGGACTGGCCTAGCCTTGTTCAGACATCCCCTTCAGTCCAGGGAGAGGCTCCTTACAGGGGGATGATCCTCATGGGAAGCTGGAAGTGCAGACGGTACTGGCTCTTCATCATCTCCTTCCCCCGGAATTCGCGTATCATGTAATCCACATACTTCGGCTGTCTCGGGAAGAAACCCACGGGAGGGAGGGCGTTGGCCAGAGAGGCTGAACACTGGGCTCCGGGAACCCACGACTGGCTTCCAGCGTCCTCCCCATCGCTCCCAGCCCCTTCCAAGGGGCTCTGGGAGCCGTCTCCTGAGGCTGGCCAAGAGAAGCAGGCCAGCAACAGAGCTCTTCTTGGATCTGGAATGCGTGAAGGGTCTATTTGCAAGTACACAGCAGCACCTCCCTCCTTAACGTGTTTCTGTAATGCTAAACACATCATCACCTCACCTCCACATCCAGCACCTCATCTGAAACTCTTTATTCACCCCCACTTTATGGATAAGAAGACTGAGGGCCATGTAAGTATAGGAGTTGTCCCGGCTCATATATCAAGTTAGCAGCAGGGAGGACCCATAAGCCAGGCGACTAGGGCAACTCTAGACTCCACTGACCAGTCTCATGAAAACATGGCTGAAGCCAAAACGGGCTACCATATGAAACTATAACAAAACACAGAAATCAAAGAATTTAAGAAAAATCATTGTGTAGATGGCAAAGGATGTTGGAAACACGCTTATTATATCATATTAAGAGAAAGAAATGCAAAAAACAAAAATCAAAGAACAGAATGTGCACCCAAACCAAGGGAGAAGTCTGAAAAAGCAGTTAACAAACGGGTTCTCGGGGCAAGGCCCCTGGGTCTGAAGACAAGCTCAACTGCTAACTAGCCCTGTAAGCTTGGACAAGTTTCTTAACTTCTCTATGCCTCAGTTTCCCCATCTATCAAATGGAGGTAAATAATAGCACCAGCCTCTTAGGATTCCTGTAAGGTTTAAGTAAAATAATAAAGAGCTTAGCACAGTGACTGGTGCCAACGCTGGTGATCATGTCATCATCACTACATCAACATGTCAGACTAATTTTTTGTACTTTTGTGTATTCTTTTGTATTCTGTATTCGTAAATGCCATATGTACTCATCATAGAACATTTAGAATCAGGAAAAAAACCCAGCATTATTATTAACATGCTCTAAAACCCTCACATTCTTGGATTTAAGCCATAGATTTGCCTGTCCTGAGTTACCATAAAGGGCCACGAGATGGTGAGGCATCGGCCGGCATCCCCTCAGCCGATGGGAGGCTAGTGTGCAGGAGAGCCCTGCAGCGGGTGGGGAGGGCCCTTGCTGCTCATGGCTGTGCACTTGTGCAGGAGTCACTGACATTCGTCATACACTTGCCTGTTCCCCGGGAGGGGAATGAACTGAGATGAGCCCAGCTCACAGGAGTCTCAGGAGGGCCCCCTCAAAGACCCAAGGGTTCCCTCTATCCAGCAAACACCCCAGAACCCACAGGAGGTCTTCTGATGTCGTGACTGCCATCTTAAACCCTCATGTGCTCCACGGACCAGCCAAGCCCTGTGCCCTCCAGCCTCCCTCCCGCTACTGTGGCAGCAGGGGCGGCCTCCTCACCCAGGTGACAAAGCCACTACAGTCTGTGTCCACCTTCAAAAACAGCGCCTCCAGCATCTCGTCTGACACACCGCTCACCATCTTCTTCATGGCCTTAATGAAAGCCTTCTTGTCCAGGGCTTCAAAGGAGAAGAAAGAACATCATCCACTTTATCACAAGTCACTCAGCCCCATCACCGGTGTTCCTGGATGTCTGGGTACCGGGGAGGGACACACATCTGCAGGCTTCCCTTTTGCATCTCATCTGTTCAATGTTCCATCATCCCACAGATCCTGGCTGCACCCCTTCCACACAAGAGCACTGCGTTGGCCCCACAGCAGGGGTCCAGGGGGTACTAAAAAGTCAGATCCAAGATCAGATCCCATTTCTGAACAAATACGACAGGCCAGGCAGTGAGACAAAGACAACTGATGAGGACCCCAAAAAGCAAATAATGGCGACAAAGAGACATAAATTCCAACATACAGAGGGAGAGGTGAAGTGCATCTTTTAAAGGCAATTAAAATACAAACTTTGACTGGAGGGAAAGATGGGGAGGGGAGAGGCAGAGAGGGCGGGGACAAAATATCCTCCCCACACTGGGTTTTGTGGCTCTAAGGAAATCTGTCTGCAAATGGGTCAATAACCCGTCTAGATGTCGTTTCTAATCACAGTTCTTAAAAAGTGCTTTTAAAACCCCTCCAAATAATTGAGGTCCTCACCCTGGCCTGAGGGCTGCACACCTTCTGCCTCCCTCAAACCTCCCTTCCCACCATGGTCCCCTCACTCTCTGCTCCAGTCACAATGTCACCACATTCTCTCTCACCACCAAGCACACTCCCACTGCAAGGCCTTTGCACCGTCTGGTTCCCTCCACAGGGAAGCCTTCCTGAGGACTATCTAAGTTGGCCACCCACCCCACTGCCCGGCTCCACTGTCCCCTCGACATTCCTCATTACTGGTCCCGCCTGGGAGCTCTGGGAGTGCAGGGGTGAGCCTGTCCCCTCCATGACTGGGTCCCCAGCACTCAGCAAAGGTTTGTTCCCCGAGTGTTTCTGTCTGAACTAGGGTGCGATGGCGAGGATCCTGGGGCCCAGTATCATCTGTGTATATTCATACTGACCACCTAGTGGTGGGGAAGGCTCATGAGGGAACTCTGGCACAGAGAGGTGAGGTCGCATGCCCAAGGTCACGTGGCTGGTACCAGTAGCCAGTAAGTGGCGGCACCAGAGGCTGACCCCAGCAATCAGGCCCCAGAGGTCACGCTCTCACCCTACTATGTGCTCCTCATAAAACACCTAGCACAGTGCTACAGCAGCAATTACTATTATTTCTTGCTAGATTAGGGAACAAATGAGAGCATGAACAGAACTTGTCTTGCTTAAAGAAGGATTCGTCTTGCTTATCTGAAGCTAGCGCCAAGAGGCTTACGCGTTCTGAGTGGCGCTTAATGGTCCTTCCATGGATAAGATGGATGTCAGATGACAGCCCACCAGCACGGAGCCTTCCCCTCAGGAGAGAGCTGGGAGTCAAAGCACCTTTTTGTGGCAGTTAGTGAACAAACTCCTCAGGAAAGCACTGTAGGGACCGAGTCCTTCCATGGGTGTTTAGGAAACCATACACATTGCCCACTGCCGTAATATTTTAATATACTTCTTCTTATAAACAGTTTACTAAAAGTTTTCTGGGAATAACAAGAGAAGAGACACACAGCTATTTTGGAAAGGAAACGTACACTGTGGAGGCCAGGCAGGGGCTCTGCTTTGCCTCTGAAAGGAAGTGCTCGCCTATCTCACACCAAAGGGTTAATTAATAGCTCTCAGAGCATGAATGTGAAAATATCCCTCCCTGGGGAGGGGTCAGTACTAGGATCAGGCAGGAGGGCACCTTCTGGGGGCTCCCTGGCTTCTGCCAGCCCACTACACTGAGCCACCAGTGACCTTGAACCACACCCGATGGTGCCGTTCCTTGTCCTTGGGGCCTCCTCCCTTCCAAAGGTGACCCCCTGGCCACTCCCATCTCCCTGGAGGCTCTGTCTGCTCCGGGCTCCACCACCCACCCTGCCCTGGCATTCAGCATCTGCCTTGGCTCTTCTCGTCACTATCTTTGCTGTTCTGCTTGACACTCTCCTCGAGTGACCCCATCTATTCACCCATCTCCGCATCTCAGGAGACAATTTCTCTCCCATATCCCTAACTCTATTTCCAAGTGTCCCTCTGGCTCCTCCAACTCAGCAGATCTAAAGTCCAATTTATTATCTTTATCCCACAACTTGCTCCCCTTTCCTGTGTTCGCCATCTCTGCTGATGGCGTCACCTCCACTCAATCACCCAGGCTGAAAACTTGCACGGGGTTTTCAATTCCCTTTCTCCTAAATCCACACAGGAATCCTATGATCCTACAATGTAGGTATGTCATTTTTCCCATCTTATAGATGAGACACAGAGGCACAGAGAGGTTTGGGGATTTGCCCAAGGACACACAGGGGCGCAGCAGGGATTTGAAACTGGAAGTCTTCCCTCGTCTCTGATATAATCTCCACTGCTCTATGCAGGGCTGTCATGTGATGAGCTGGGGCTCTTACAACTGCCTCTCAACCAACCCCTAGCCCTTAACGTATTAATATCAGGAGAAAAAAAGGTCTGAAATTACACATAAAGTACAATTACAGACATGTGAAATCACACATAGCCGTGCGTGGCAGAGACGTAAGGCGGCCCGCATGATGTCCACCTGCTGGTGCTCATGCCCTCCTGAGATCCCGACCCCTTGAGCGTGGCAGGGCCTGTGGCTTGTTTCTAACCAACAGAATACGGCAGAGGTGACAGGATGTACAGGACCATGTGTACATGATTACATGATTATGTTCTAAGATTGTCGCACACATCTTGCTGGAGTTTCTATCTCCCTGGCCGGCTTGAGCCTTGACATCAGCCATGTTGGTGAGTCCTACATGGCCAGGAACTGTGGACAGCTCTAGGAGCTGAAGGCAGTTGCCTGCCAACAGCCAGGAAGAAATGGAAAGTCTCAGTCCTGTGGCTGCAAGGAACTAACTCTGCCAACAACCTGAGTGAGCTCAGAAGTGGATCCTTCCCCAGTCAAGCCCCAGATGATTCCACAGCCCCAGCTGACACCTGGATTGCAGCCCAGTGAGACCCTGAGCAGACCCACGAGCTAAGCCGTGCCTGACTCCTGACCCACCAAAACTGAGACAATTAACATGCTGGTTTAAGCCACTAAGTTTGCAGGAATATTGTTACACAGCAATAGATGATAAACCACACATATGAAATTGTTTGGAAGAAAATATACCAAACTGCTAACAGTGGTTACATTTGGGTGTTTGGTTAGAGGGTTTTTGTTTTTAAGTTTCTAGGTCCCAAACAGCCTCTAATATGCTTATAATACTATATAACAATAAAAAGTCTTAAAGGAGACACTGGATGCAAAGATGCTTGTCAAGTCTGAACCCTCCACACCCTCCAGGTGCTGGGTCCCGCTCTGCGCAGAAGCCATACGGACTGAGGCCACAGGGCAGCTTTACCTCCAGTTGAGTTGACGTCATCCTCAAACATTTTCTCTACCTTGGCCAGGTGTAGCTCGGTAAACAGCTGAGACTCCTGCTGGAAGTCGGGCATCTGGCTAAGGGTGATGGATGATGCTGGGAAGCTAGGAACCTCCTTGCTCTTCTGGAATCCACCTGGGATGGACGCCTAGAACAAATATGGCTACAAGAACCAGGAGCTGAGAGGGCCGAACTCCTGAGCTGAACCTTGTGAAGCACATCTTATTGGAAGAGAGACTCTTAGGGGACGGCAGGATATGTAGTATTGCAGTGTGCTACTAACTGATGCAAACGAGTCAGTCTTAACCACTTTTAGACCTGGGAAGGCCGAGAAAGATCTAGTGTGCTTCTCCTGACTTTACAGAGTTAACCACTGTTCCCTTTTTACAGATGCCACAACCGAGGCTCAGCGAGGTTAGTGGGCACAGCCAAGGTTCCGCCTCACACACAAGAGGACTCTAATTTATAAGGTGCTTCAGTTCAGAACTCTATTGTCTCAAATCTCCAGTGGTCAGAATTCAAGACTCCAAGGAATCCAGCTCCATCTTCCCAGCCAATTTGATCTGGTCCTGACAGCCCAGACACCCCCCCAGCTCAGGTCAGATCATCTGCGCACACCCCAAAGCTCATGTTGACCCCTCCCCCAGGGGCTCTCGGCTTCCTCCTACTCACCTCCCCACATCCCTCCCCTAGCCTTCCCCATCCATCCAGCTCCCAACAATGCTTTTTCTCCTCAGCTCCTACACACGATTCATTCTGACACTTAGCCCAATGCTTCAGGTCACTAAAGTCTCAGGTCGTCAAAGGCTGCCACCCTCAAAAGACTCCAGGCATGCGCTCCGGGATAACCATTGAGTGTTGCTCGCTGAGACATGCTGCTTTGGGCCTTGGGCAGTCAAGAAGATTTTGGTTCAAAAAGCTAAAAGACAAGGTGGAGGCTAGATGGCTCACTCTCCCCACCCTCTCCCACCAAACAAGCAAACGTGCTCATCCTCTCGTGAACTTTCATTCATTCACTCATGGTCTACACACATTTGCCGAATGCCAGGCACTCTGGATACATGAGTGAACAAAGTGGAGACCTGCCATCATGGAGCCCAACAAATGAGCTAGTTAATGCTCTCACCAGCCCTGCAAGCCCCCAAATTCAACATTTCAGCACCATCTTTGGCTCTTCCCTTTCCTTCTATGCATCCTTGTTGTCCCTCCTATTGATTCTTACTATGACCTATCTCCTACATCTCAACCCTCCTCTCCTACATCCCTGTCCCACCCCAACCTCTGGCCTTTTCCTGGGACAAGTACAATGACCTCCCCTGACTGGGACCAGAGTTTGGCCTTCCCTTCCAATCCTCCTCCCAACACTGGCACCAATCATCTTTCTGGCAGGCAAATCTGATCATGACTTTCCCCTGGCTCTGACACATTCCAGGATACTCCTACCACCCTCAGCTCCTGAGTGTGGCATTCAAAGGTAGCCCTGACCTATCTTTCTAGTTTCAATGCACACACCATGGTCCAGGCACACCAACTGCTCTCCATCCCCAAACACAGCAAGCATGCCACTTGTACTCACATCATCCCCTCTATGCAATACAGACAATCTCCCCAGAGGCGAACCCCTACCCATTCTTCAAAGTCTGGCTCAAATGGCACCTCCTCCAAGGAGCTTTTCCGTAACTTTCACTGCTACCTCCAGGCTCCCAAACTCTGTTTCTATCTGCCATGCATGCATGATACTTGTGTGTGTCTGTCCATATGTGTAGAAAGTAAGGTGTGATGGGAAACACATGGCTATAGAGTCCCAGAGTTCTGTGTTAGAATTCTGCCTGGCTCCCTACTTCCAAGCTAATTTATTTTGGACATATCACATCACTTCTCTGAGCCACTAGTTTCTTCACCTGCAAAATCAAGATCCACAGTACCTGCCTTAGAGGGATGTGGGGAGACCTACACGACGCCTGAACACATGTGAAGCCCCAGGAGACTGTAGTTACACAATAAATGATAGCTCCTGTTAAACTTGCGGTCTCATAGTGAGCTCTTTGAAGGCAAGGCCATATTTAATTTATCTTAATTTAATTTATACTAATTATCTATTCCCCAGCCCCAAGCACATAATAGACACTAAATACTTATCTAGCTAGATAGTAATTTGTACAGCCCATCCCACCACTATCACAACTTGGCTGGACAAAATTAAATAGAATCCATGTAGGACTGCAAATTGGTAGCCTCAGGTTTGCTGCACTTGGCTGATGCAGTGCTTTAAAAGGAAAAACCAGCCCACGCAGCGCACACTTCAGTTACCTACATGGCCTTGTAAATATCTGAGTTTGCAACCCCTCGTGCAAAGACTCATAAGTGATAGACTTCTATGTTAATGAGTGATGTTTGGGTGGCTCCAAAACACCCCCGCCCCCTTATCAACTCTGATTGTTTTCTTACCTTTTGAGGTTGAGGGCTCTTGGAAGACACTGGTTTTGACCTAGAATAGGGAACCATAGTCGTTTTAACTCCAGCCTTTGTAAGGAGCATGTGGGGGAGCTGACCTAGCCGGGTCACAGGAGAGTGGAAAAGAAGTCAGGGTTGGGGGTGGCTGCCCCATGCCCATGGACCACCCCCAGCATGCATGTGATGAGAATCCCTTTTCCCATAGGGCCTTCTCCAGCAGGGAGCTTTTCCCAAGCTTACAACTGTGAGCCTTCTTTCCCCTGATGGAAAGTTGTCTTCCTAAAGCCCTGGGGCTTAGTGCCAGAGGCTTCCTAAAGGGGGCTCACCCTTTTCACAGAATTAGAAGGGGCATAGGAGGCCATGCTGTGGTCCAACTACAATTCACAGATTAGGAAAATAAGGTTCAGGGGCAGGCACGTGTGCAAAGGGCCAACACATGCTCCAGAGGTGGGGCAGGACAGGCCCCAACTTTCCACTGCATACACCCCCCTACCCACCCTCCAATGCCCTTGGAGACAGAACTCTCCTCACAGCAGCAAAGGATCAGGTGAGAGTGTGTGGAAGAGGGCCATTCCACGGAGCTCTGCTCTGAGAATATAAAGGGCACATTTCCACAGGGTCAGTGACACCTCCACAGAGATGATAGGATTACTGGAGCGTCAATTCACCTCAAATAGCAAGTCCCACCAGGCAAGAATGGAGAGGGCACTCTGGGATGGCAGGGGAACGGACAGGAAAGAGTCAAGCCCTGGACAGGCTCAGGGGACAGAGAAAATGAGCCAGCTTGGTTTGACAAAGGGTTCCTGGGGGAGAGAGCGTGAGGGGTGAGGGAAGGAATAATAAGAGAGAAGAGAGAGAATAAAACTTGGAAGCAGAATGTAGAATCGTAAATATCTCACCAGAAAGACTGAACAGGATGAAGGGCAATTATGAAGATTCATCAGCATAAGATGGAGGGAGAAAGGAGGAGGAAGACTGAAGACTGGCCAACAGTGTCCTAACCTAACAGTGTCTTGGCAACAGCTCAGATGTAAGGACCAAAGGAGAGAGAAGAGGCAAGGAAAGGAGATTTGGAAGCCAAGAACCAGGGTAACTGAGGGAAAGGCCAGAAACGTTTCCAGAAATGGGAGCAAGGAGGGAAAGTGGCTTAATGCACATGACACTGGGTTTTCCAACTGGAAATAAAAGACAAATACCTGGAAATAGGGAGACTGACACTGGAGGCATGGCTATATTTAGGCAACAGAAAGAGGAGGGAAAACACACAAGAGACAGGATGAGTCAGCTAGGAGGATGGGATGCTTCACAGTGGGCCAAGATGATAAGGAGAAGAAAAGGCCACTGAACACGGCAAGTGAAGGTCACCAGTGAAAAAAGCTGCAGAAGTATATTTGTAAGTCCATTTCTGTTAAGAATATACGCATGTATATGTTGGCACAGGTACAGAAAGAGAGCCTGGAAAGGCACACCCCAAATGTAATGGCACTTATCTCTGGCAGGTGAGGTTATGGAGGATTTCTATAGTCTAAATCATGCATTTCTCTACTTTTTTTTAATTCAAAAAAGGCTCACGGCAATCTCTAGGACTTATTTCAACAGAATGGGTAGAATGGTGGTAGTGATTTCAACTACTCATCTGTGACTGACCATCGTACATGAGGGGTTGCTGCAGCATCATTCATAGCAGCAAAAAATAAAATAAAGTGAATGGCTATCAGAGGAATGGCTGAACAAATCAATACACCTGCCCTCAGAACATGACCTAAGCACCCAAAGGTGAGTCTGACCTTCAGCAGCTGACTAGGAGGGACTTCCCTGAGGTACTATCAGTAAGGAAAGACGCAGAAAAGAGTGCACAGTATGCTGCACCAACCAAAGGCATGTCTATCGCCACATTTATACAGAACAGGAAGCATGGGTATGTATAAAGGAAATGAGTACATTCTGTTTTGCTTTCAAGTCTTGGCTAACAAGTGATAAAATTAACACCATCAATGAGGGAGCAAAAGACCATCACATGCCTCCTGGCGTGTACACTCAGGACCCGTTACTTCGATGGTATTACTGACAAACATGCATAACCTGAATCGGATCATGAGGACCAGACAAACCCAAACTGCAGGACATTCTACAAAATAACTGTGTTTTAGTCTTAAGATGTCAGCGTCACGGAAAACAAAGAAAAGCTAAGGAACTGTTCCAGATTAAAGGTGACTAAAGAGAGTCAACTGCTAAAGGCAATGGGTGATGCTGAACTGGATCTCAGACTGGGAAAAAAAAATCTAAGGGCCATTATCAGGACACTGGTGAAATTTGAACACGGATTCTGCATTCCTAGATGATACTGAGCTAACGTTGTTTCTTGCTTTTGACTATTATATTGTACTTATAAGAGAAAATGTCCTGTTCTTAGGAAATATACACTTGAGTATTTAAGGACAAAACGTCTATAATTCATTCTCAAATGGTTCAACAAACATATAAAGTCATGCTTTGCTTAACAACAGGGACATGATCTGAGAAACGCATCATCCGGCAATTTCATCATTGCATGGACATCATAGAGGGCACTTACACGAACCTAGATTTAGAGCATACTACACACCTAGGCTACACAGTACTACCTCTATGGGACCACCATCGTATATGCTGTCCATCATTGACCAACATGTGGTTACGTGGCGCATGACTGTAATAAACCAAATCTGGCATGGCAAAATGTTCACAATGAGTCAATCTGGGCAGAGAGGACTTCTTACACTATTTTTACAACTATTCAAATATGTTTCATATTTCAAAACTAAAGGTTTTAGAAGAGGGAGAAACATGTTTCATCAAGAGAGAAAGAGGAGCTCTGTGTAGCTGTATGTTCATAGACTGAGGCAACAAGTGGAAAATACTGGTTGAGGGCAAGAGAGACACCCATGAGGAAAGGAGAAGAGTAAGAGGAGGAAGGAGAGAGAAGTACTGTCCTCTGATACTGGAGTGAAGAAGAGAAAATGCACACGTAGAATCACATTTCTAGTTCGAATTAGACAACACGTGAGATTGGGGAAGCCACACCCACTGGCCTCAATCTACTCCCTGAAGTTCACCTGCTCTGGGGGAAGCAGGTGAGACGGCATAAACCTGGAAACAGGGGTGAGAGCTTAGAACAGCCACTGGGGCAGCATGCTGGGACTGAGGGGGGTGGGTTGGCGATAACTGGTTGGCTAAATAGCAAGAATTTGTAGGGGCAGACAACTCAAGGCCAAATGCAATTCCAGCTGTCCTGGAAACAGGCAGGAGATGCTCTCCTGTGGAGACTTCGCACTCAGGCATACGTATCTTAGGGCCCAGGTGTCCAAGCTTTGGGAGACTACTTTAATCCCAAACCCTCACTCACCCTGACCCAATCTGCTCTCCCCAGTTACTCCTGCTGGCTATACTTGACAGAGGCATACTGGTTTTCAACTGGCATCTCGACTGAGACATCTCGGCAGCTCGCCCTGAATCCAAAGGAGCTCCTCTATGAAGTCACTGTGGAACTCCAAAGAGTTCCACCTGACTGCAAAGTCAGCCGGTCACATTTAGAACCAGGAAAATGAGACAGAATTCCATGTACAGAACACAAAACAGAATATCAGAATCCATCCCACAAACCATAACCAGCAGCCATTTTTCATCCAAATTGAGACATTCTTTTTATTGATGAAGTTGAACTTACAGCACACAGTGACAGGAGCTACAGCAAACAGCCAGGACAAGTATGACTACAAAACGACCCATAGGACAATTACAGCACACAGTGCCCACCTCTCACGGAAACTGTGGAAAATGCCAAGGAGCCCTGTGATAAGGCTGGTTCACCAAAACCAAAAGGCCAGCTGGCCCCCACAGCTGCGACAGTGGAAGGCACAGCCACTCTCTTAACATGCCCTCTGCATGAGCTCCAAGTCTCTGAAAAGAGGAAGGCTCCAAGAGCATCGTGTGTGAGATGGGGTCTGACAAGTCCAGACCTCGGAGCAGGCAGGGACTCGATGCAGCACTGCTCAGTCTTCATCCACGGCACAGGCAGCAGGAGGAGTTGTCAAAGGTCAATCTCTGGGGAGATTTCAACCAGGGACATGGATTCCAGATTTAAAGGTAGCCAGCTCAATCACATCTCATGATGACCTAGATGTTACCAAAAGGTTAACGGACCACCACCAAACAAGACATTCTCCCTAGACTCACACCATAAAGAGAACACCAACATACAGAGAAAATTTCTGCTTCCACTTCATCAATAATGGAGACAAAAGATTTTGTCACATTGTACAACATTAAAAGTAGAGAGGTTCACTGAAATGTCATAAACGGTGCAGAACGTCTTTTAAATCAGAGTTTTATTAAACTAGGTATTAATAAACTAGAAGGGTTTATTTTAAAAAGAAACAACGCTGATGGCCCTACATTTGACAGTTTCCCACTATTTTTTTGGCTCAGTACTTTCATTTTTCAATCCAATGTTACTCCTACTCAGAGCAGTTCCAGTACTTATCAATATTTTTATATGTGCCCAAAATACGCTAAATTCAGTCATAATAAATATATTTTTCCTTCCCTGGGAGGAAACAGGAGAAAAAAGGGTACTAGGATGCACTCCACTTTTTAGGAAAGGAAAAATTCACAAAACTCCCACCTAAAAAGAGTGAAAACATGATCATCAATAACAACTCAGGCAAAAAAAAGAAGAAAACAGAAATGGGGGGCTGGCCCCATGGCCGAGTGGTTAAATTTATGTGCTCAGCTATGGCGGCCCAGGGTTTTGCTGGTTCAGATCCTGGGGACAGACATGGCACCGCTCGTCAGGCCATGCTGAGGCGGCGTCCCACATGCCACAGCTAGAAGGACTCACAACTAAAAGATATACAACTATGCACCGGGGGGCTTTGGGGAGAAAAAGGAAAAATAAAATCTTTAAAAAGAAACAGAAATGGGAGGGAGGGCATTTTGAGGAAAAACTCTCCTAGATAAACCTTTGCACAAAAATAATTCTGGAAAAAAGTTCAAAGTCCTACTTGAGACTAGGTTCAGGCATCAGTTGCCAACCCTAAGGAGATTCTGATCCCTAAAAGTAGAGGTGAGACGTGCCAGAAGGGAGTGACTCCGGCAGCTAGGGCTGCAGGGACACACAATTAACTGCTCCAGGGAAGGCCCCTCCAGTCCACTCAGCAGCACGGCAATACTGTCCTCTCCAGCTTGACAACTGCGGGTCCTAAAATGCCAAAATTAGTTTCCTAATATGCCACTATATGTGTCCATTATTCCTCAACAAAGTTAAATTTAAAAAATTGTAACCTTCTCAGTGTTATATAATTTGCAAAAAATTTTAACATGCAAGTTGACAGCCAGGGAGAGAGGCTTTTTCCTTTCAAACACAAATAAACGAGAGAGAAGTCAGCGACTGTTGGAACTGAAGGGCCCCTGAAGACTAATATTGAGATCACATCTTTAGTTGAGGTCAACAACTCAGCTGCCATGACATTTAAGACAGCATTCTTCCTACCACAGCACACTGCCAAAGAGAACTCCGGGTCCAAATGCCAAAGATTTCAAAATACCAGAATCCAAGAAAAAAGGCAGAATCTCAATCTGGTTCAGTAGCTACTTACCCATTTCCTCCCAAAAAAAGAAAGAAAAAAAGGCACTTCTTAAACATTGGTGGGAAAATATTAAGTCAGAGAGTTAAAAATTCTTATGAAATTTTGTTAAATAATTTTTATTTCATATGACACGGAATTATTATTTCTTCTCTCAGCTTTTAAAATTAACAGGGAGGAAGGTGCACACAAACGGGCAAGCTGGGATGGCCTATAGCTAAAAGCACAAATATTCCATTCTTCCAAGCAGAGTTTAAAATTTCAAAGTAAAAATAAGTCATACATAATTATACACATTTAACTCACATTATTTTGTAGAAAAACACATAAAACACCCAAAAGGGGGGCGGCTATCAGGTTGGAAACCCTTAGAATGCTTTTAAAATCCAGACGACCCTGAGGTATGCTGGATCTTAAAATACCTAGAACCACTTCAAAATATATAAACGGGCCCATTATGAGAAAGAGAAATACGGACATGATAAAACAACTGGGAAGCAAGCAAGAAAGGAGAGCAACGTGAAGGTCGCTCGGCTTAGACCAGGATAAACCACGGCAGAGCCTGGGAGAGTACAGTTAGATTCCTGCACCAAACGGCGACTCGGGGATGCATCTATTGGCCAAGCTCTCCCTGCAGCTTGCAGACTGTGGGGAAAAATCCAAACACATGTGTTGAACCACTTGTTACTTCTCCTGTCAAAGCCTCTTCAAGTCAAAACTCTGATCGAAACACAAAAGTCGTGCACTTCACAAACGATTTCACTGCCAGTGAGAACTCTTCCAAAAATCTCACATGCAAAACGTATACAGCTGATGCTGAGAGACACTGTACAACTGTCCCTCAACTGATGAAAACTGGCCTCTAGAGGCAACATATGCCAGAACTGGGCACTCTCCCACCTGTTCTGCTCCAGGATCCTATTGGCTTTTACAGACCTAAGTAACTTTTTCTGGCCCAGAAGGGATCTTGGGGAACCATTCTCGCTCATCTTGTCACTGAGCCAATGAAAAGCCATGCTCTGCAGACCGGGCACACATGGTCTGGAGGAGGACCCTGGTCTCAACTCCTGGTCCTTGATGCCCTGACCACAGCACTGTCTCCTCGCTCATTTTGGTAAAGGTCAGAGAAGGGTCTAGCCACACACTCGCTGGAATATTCAGTCTACACACTGGTATGCTTGACACTGGACTTAACCTTGTCTACAGTGCAATGTGTGAATCATCCATGAAGGGTGAATCTTAGAAACCCATCTCTGTCCCCAGAGGAAACCAGTAAGAGCCATAAAGCCAGATTTAAGACTTACCCTGAAGTGAAACTCACCAGCAGCTTCCCAAATCTCATTCTACCACCCAAACCGAAAGTTCAAACAGAGACCTCAGTAAATGGAGCGCTCCTCCTCTTCTTCCTCATCCCTGCCTCCGGCCTATCGGCACCAACAATCCCTGCAGACCGAAAACACGCAAAGTAAACCCGGAAAAAGCTAACGGAGAAATTTTTTTAATTCTTAAGGTAAGACATCCTACAGAATTCCAAACTGCTGAGAGGTCACTTTGCAATTCTAACTCTGTTGGTACCACTGAGCAAGGCTCACCTGGTTTGCTTTCAAATGCATGGGACAAAGATTCGCCTCTCCCCACCCACAGAAACGTGTCCGTGAAGTCATCTGGGTTTTAATGTTCTAACTGTACTCAAGTTCAATGTGAAAGTAGAGAATCCCTCCATGGGCTTTCTCTCAGACAAGGACTCTGCATACTCAGTCACAACCTCACATGCGCAAACTCTGAGAAAAAAGCAGCGAGGGTCAGAAATAAACAAACTCATCTGGTCTCAAAATTTTATCAATGGAATGTGTAAATCAAAAGTATGACATATTCCTAATTTTAAGTCAGCAGCAGCAATGTCAGACCAGCAAAATGACTGATGATTCACAAACGCTGACCACAGGCTCGGTTCAGTGCAGTTACTTCCACCCCACAGACAGCAATCAGACGTGGGTCACTCGCATACTAGAGCAAGCCAATCCGATTAGGCCACTCGCATACTAGCAAGCCAATCCGATTAGGCCGATCAGACTTAAAAGCTAAATCTTGTTTGTGGACTATGGTGAATTACAGTAAACATCACAAAAGTAGCTCCTCATCCCAAATCTTACAAAACAATCCTTAAAGAAACACTTCTCTACACTCACTTTGGTGACAGCAAAAGAAAACTAATTCCTTTCCAACATACTACGTTCTAGAGAGTAAACCATGACGAAAATACAATTTTTTAAATCAGTGAATCTGAATTATTCAATCACTGAATCTTCATTTAAAAGAAAATCGCGGCATGTGTGTTTAGATCTCAATTTCATTTAGGGAAAAAACAGGACGAAAATCATAGTCTGAAAACTGAAAGGAGCTGGACCCATCAATACCAGAAAGCTGAAAAAGAAATATTAAAAAAACTTGCTACTTCTTTTACAAAATACTCAAAGCCTATCTTAAGGAATGCCCTCCTGAATTCTCAGGATACAAAACCCCTGTGCTAAGCTTCTCTGCTCTATAAACAGAATTTCAGACTGGATGTGAAGAGCCCATGCAGGGCTTTCTAACGTGTGCTTGCTTTTTCTGTCTGTCAGTTCATTCTGCTCCAACAAGCATCGAGTGAGGGAGGCACTTCAGCCACCATCATCATCCGTGTTTTATAGGCCAGAACAAGGAGAGAGGTCCATTAGCTCCAAAGTCACAAAGCTAGGAGGGATCTGCAAGGACTCAAATCTGAGGCTCCCTCTGCCAGAGCCAGACTTGAACTTGCAGGCAGAGAGCAAGGCCAAAGTACAGGTCTGAGGACTAAATCAAGCCCAAGTGCTCTGAGGCACATAATAAAACACAGATT